AGGCCAGTCGGGTGTTCTAGCGCCTTGGGGATGTGACTGCGGTTGCAGCCCCCGGGCTTCGTAGGCACCTTCCCTCCACTAGCGACTTGGGCGTTAAATATTTGAAAGAAAACTCAAGAATAGAAACCATTTATAATCAGTTAGAAGTTTCACAACATTAACAGACCATTGATGACAACTCTTGCTTCTAAATAGTCTAAGCCAGATTTCTTGAGAAGATTGTCACAAGGAAGGAATTCTGAGTCTTGAATAGCAGAAATTCTTTTAGCAAAAGTGTGGAGTTAAGTTAGTAATCATGAATTCAAAGTAACAGTAGTTGTTGAGAAACTAGCAACTTTTCAACCTTTTAAATTTTTGTACTATTGCAGAGGAAGTTGTGCGTGTCAAAGGACAGAATGTTGGAACAGTTTCCACTGAAGAATGTCTCCCTCCGGCTCAAGTGTTTGCATCAGAAGAGGTTCCTTCCCTTTTGGAACCACTCTTTCCTGCTAATGCAGAACCAAAGGTTTGTTTCTCCACTTGAGTATAAGTGCGAAAACCATTCTACATATATGCCTATTGTTGTTAGTTGAAGACATGTAAACAAAAGAAAACATTTTTGGTTTGTTTACTAGCAGATTGTCTTTCACTCAAACTTTGTTTAGTAAGAGAGCAAGAAGAAATACAGTACTACAAGTTGATCAAAAGAAAGCCATCAAACAAATTCTTGAACCAAAAGAAAATGCAACCACATTACTCCATGCTAAAATCGAATCTGGGCTTTATTTGCATTAGTGAGAGGCAAGTGCCAACCTGAAGAGACCATTCCATCTCCTCATAGTACTGAATGTTTTGAATAAAACCACTAGTAGAGGTGCAGTGGCCTCATGGCTAGTGCACTTGACTCTGGATGAGCAGTCTGGGTTTGAGCCTTGGCCAGGGACACTGTGTTGTGTTCTTGGGCATGAAGACACTTTACTCTCACAGTGCTTCTCCACCCAGGTGTACAAATGGGTACCAGCGAATTTAATTCTGGGGGTAACCTTGCAATGGTCTAGCATCCCATCCAGGGGGGAGTAGAAATACTCCTAGTCACTTCATGCTACAGAAACTGGGATAACTTGAAGCTCTGACCTGATGGCCTACTTGGCTCACATCTAGACTTTGATTACAACCTTTTTCACCACTGGTTTTTCCAGGTTCCACAATGTGTAAAGGATCTGTCTCCCAGTGCATGGAACCCTCCACCAGGAGGCAGAAGACTTGCAGGTTAGTACACAAGCCACTTAGCTGGTGTGTATTAACTTAAGGTCGGCACACACCAGGGAACATGTTACAGGGACATGAAGTGAAGACATGTTGCAGAGACAGTTTCCTCATGTGACATGCCTGTTTTTGTACAAAAACGTTCCATTGCAGGAACAAACTTTTGTCCACAAAACACCGCATGAAATTCAGTTGGTTCGAATTCATGAGTCATGAAGCAGGGGAAGAAAAAATAATGACCTCAATTTTCAATATTGCTTCATATGCACTGCTCTTGAAAAGTGTCCTCGCTACAACGTAGAAATAAACCAATGTCCACTTTGTGTGCGCCAGCTTGCGTACTGTCCCTGCAACATGATATGTGCCCTACACATACACAAAAAGGGGCTTATCCGAGCTTCACATCCTTGCAACATGTCTCCTAATGTTGTACGCCAACCTTTATAGTTTTTAACTAAGTATTCCTGTTGAATTTCTTGAATACTGGGAATGCAGATGGGTGAACTATTTACTGACTGTTACTTGTACACTCTTTTGTTTTAGGTGACCTGCTTTATATTGATGTTGTAACACTAGAAGATGTTCAGGTTAACATAACTGCGTCAACGTGTGGATTTTTTGTTAACAGGTCAGTTTTTAACCTGCATGTGGAATTAATGAGCAACACATTTTTCTCTTGTTAAACACATGGTTTCTGTTTGTTCTTGCTGGATATACTGCTACATGCTATGCTACATGCAAATGATTTCAGCTGGTAATGTGGTTATAATTTTGTAACTTGCAAATGAAATTGAATTTATCACCCATTTCTTCAAAAATGTGAACTCGTCAGTTGCTAACATAAACTGTCCCCCATTTGTAACTGACCTGTGAATAAGTAGTTTGCTTGTTTCATTTTACAGAACACATGATGGTGTATTTAATCCTCAGCCCCACAGTGAGCCATGTCGTTCTCACACACTTGTAGGACTTTTAAATCAGGTAAGCTTCTACGTCTACAGCTTTCACTGTAATACAGTGAACATTCATAGCTGATTCCTAAGGACTATGCACCCAATTAAATGGGCNTTGCATTAGTGAGAGGCAAGTGCCAACCTGAAGAGACCATTCCATCTCCTCATAGTGCTGAATGTTTTGAATAAAACCACTAGTAGAGGTGTAGTGGCCTCATGGCTAGTGCACTGGACTCTGGATTGAGCAGTCTGGGTGTGAGCCTTGGCCAGGGACACTGTGTTGTGTTCTTGGGCATGAAGACACTTTACTCTCACAGTGCTTCTCCACCCAGGTGTACAAATGGGCACCAGTGAATTTAATGCTGGGGATAACCTTGCGATGGTCTAGCATCCCATCCAGGGGGGAGTAGAAATACTCCTAGTCACTTCATGCTACAGAAACCGGGATAACTTGAAGCTCTGGCCTGATGGCCTACTTGGCTCAGGTCTAGACTTTGATTACAACCTTTTTTACCACTGGCTTTTCCAGGTTCCACAATGTGTAAAGGATCTGTCTCCCAGTGCATGGAACCCTCCACCAGGAAGCAGAAGACTTGCAGGTTAGTACACAAGCCACTTGGCTGGTGTGTATTAACTTAAGGTCGGCACACACCAGGGGACATGTTACGGGGACATGAAGTGAAGACATGTTGCAGTGACAGTTTGCTCATGAAACATGCCTGTTTTTGTACAAAAAAGTTCTGTTGCAGGAACAAACTTTTGTCCCCAAAACACCGCATGAAATTCAGTTGGTTCGAATTCATGCGTCATGAAGCAGGGGAAAAAAATGACCTCAATTTTCAATATTGCATCATATGCACTGCTCTTGAAAAGTGTCCTCGCTACAACATAGAAATAAACTAATGTCCACTTTGTGTGCACCAGCTTGCATACTGTCCCTGCAACATGATATGTGCCCTACACATACACAAAAAGGGGCTTGTCCAAGCTTCATGTCCTCGCAACATGTCTCCTAATGTTGTATGCCAACCTTTATAGTTTTTAACTAAGCATTCCTGTTGAATTCCTTGAATACTGGGAATGCAGATGGGTGAACTATTTACCGACTGTTACTTGTACACTTTTTGTCTTAGGTGACCTGCTTTACATTGATGTTGTAACGCTAGAAGATGTTCAGGTTAACATAACTGCGTCAACATGTGGATTTTTTGTTAACAGGTCAGTTTTTAACCTACATGTGGAATTAATGAATAACACATTTTTCTCTTGTTAAACACATGGTTTCTGTTTGTTCTTTCTGGATATACTACTACATGCTGTTGTGCCCTTTGGCTCACTTGCTGATATCCAAATGATTTCAGGTGGTACTTGCAAATGAAATTGAATTTATCACCCATTTCTTCAAAAATGTGAACTTGCCGGTTGCTAACATAAACTGTCCCCCATTTGTAACTGACCTGTGAATAAGTAGTTTGCTTGTTTCATTTTACAGAACACATGATGGTGTATTTAATCCTCAGCCCCACAGTGAGCCATGTCGTTCTCACACACTTGTAGGACTTTTAAATCAGGTAAGCTTCTACGTCTACAGCTTTCACTGTAATACAGTGAACATTCATAGCTGATTCCTAAGGACTATGCACCCAATTAAATGGGCATAATCCTGCATAAGCACTACTGTCAAACCCATCCTCTGGGACACCTCCCATAGCAGAGCTGGAGGGCAGTCCAAACACCTCATTACCCAAGTTGCTACTTTCTGTGGTTCTAGTGATGTCTACTTTCAATAATGTTCACTACAACATTTTTTATCATAATGAACACCAAAACTAGGTTAGGATTTGTTTCCTGTCAACAATATGCATCCTAGCTGTGATCTTTTAAAGAAAAGGGTTGATCTGCAATCTTAAACACACACAGCATTACATGTGTACAGTACTGTTATTTCTAATCATTTATTTTTATTTTCGTGTTTTTTTTTTCTGTTTCAGCTGAGTCCCATGTTTAGGAAATACTTTGCCCAGCTGCAAAAGACAAGGTTTGAATGTGGCCTTTTGTTTTTATTTTAAGAATGTTTCAATTGTGTCATCAAATGAATGAGGATTGTCACAAACTTTTGAACTAGATGGCATTGTTGCTGGAGTATGCAGCTGATTTTTCCATTGTTTTCTATAGGATTAATAGAATAGCCAGTAGAGTACAGGGCTAAAAAAACCCACTTGAATTCCAGCTTGCCCTTGGGATAAGAAGCTCTCAAATTTTGCTTGCCCTGGGCAAGTCTTTGTGCTATTTAATGATTTAGTTGGTAGACAACTTGCCTAATCCCTTGCCCATCAGGCAAGTGAGAATGAAAAGTTACTTGCCCAGCAGGAAAATCTACTTGTCTGGGACAATGGGATGGCACTTTTTTGAACCCTGGGAGTAGCTGGGCTAGATCACAAAGTAGATGGTCATTTGCTCTCCTTAGCTTCTTGTCCTTGGTNGTACTCTGATATTTAGTTGAAGCCTAAGAGAGCTTGCATATGTCCATTCATCTATTGCTTCTAAATTTCTCGGTTTATGAGTAAGAACAACTTTGTTCATGCTTTTATTATGGATGCAGCCATCTGAAGTATTTATTTTGTCATCTTACAGTCAAATTGATCATGACCTCTGTATGGTTCTGTGTCAACTGTTTTTGGATTTATTCTGCTTAGTTGATTGATGAAGTTTTTTTTAAGTAAGGTTTATAATACACTGGTTTGTATTTCATCTTGTTCTCAGCTCCGTGACTGGAATGAAGAACTGCAGTCTGCTAGAGAGTTACCAAAGGAAACCATGCAACAGAGACTGTTAAGAGACAGGGCAATTTTTAAGGTGACTGGGAGACTACTTGCTATGCTAAAAATACAATGTAGCACTAAAGAAACCACAAAGAATCGTAGAGTTGAATTAGGTCATTGCCTCCCTTAAACTATGAAGCTAAGTCGGAGTGTTGGTATATTGGAAATGGTGGTGGGATGGTTCAAAACACAAAAAGCTCTGGGTGAGGGTTGTGGATATTCTCTGGAACTCCGTACACAGTTCAAGGTAGAGTGATATCGTTATGTTGATGCAGTAATGCAATGATTATTTTCTTCTAGATCACAAGTGATTTTGTGTCAGCTGCCACCCGGGGAGCTGTCGCTGTTATTGATGGAAATGTGATGGCTATTAATCCTGGGGAGGATGAGAAGTAAGTAAAACATTCAAGTCTGCAAAGAAGTTTTCCAGAGATTTGTTGGTTTATTGTATAGTGAATTGAACAAAAAACGGTACACATGGATTGCCATGTACTGTACCTCATTATAATTGTGTTTCTCTCTTAGGAAAAGAATGTTCATCTGGAACAACATTTTCTTTAGCTATGCATTCGACAGCCGAGATCACTTCCAAGGTGTGGGAGGTAGGATGAATGTTGCACTCAAATTTAGACTGGAAATTGGTGTTTTGTGCCTGAGCTAACGTCCAGGAATCACTGACTACCTGACAAATGCTAGGCTCTTCCCTTGTGTTGTTAAGTTAATTAAATTGCACTTAATTATTGTACAGCAACACAAATTGAAATGGTTTATAGCCATTCTGTGCAATCTGAATTTTAATTTCCTCTCAGTCAGAGCTGTATTTTGATTCCAGACTTAAGAAGATTAACTATCTTCAACTGTAGCTATCTTTAACTGTAGCTTGGGTACATTCTGTTGGGCACAAAAGCAGTAGTGGAAAAATTGTACATGCTAGCTACAGTAAATACAAAGTGTTTGATATGCTTACGACCAACGTAAGAATTTGAAATTTTCCTGCAATCATTGTTATCTTATCAATGTTGTGAGAAAATATTTGAAGTCTCTGTAGTGATGTACTATACTTGTTTCTCTTAGGTGATGAAGCTGCATATGCTGCTGCTGTAAGTTCTCTTGATTTGTTTGTTCTCTGTTAGGTAACTCTGGTTTGTCAGAATAAGTCTCAACTATAGCAAAGCAATGATAAATAGAAGCTCACTATTGAAGAAGTCTGTTTCATGATTGTTTTATTCAGGGTGGTGATCTCAGAGGAGTGATGGCATATAACAGATTAGATACACAGGTGTGTGCTATTAGTATACTGTGGAATCCCAATTTTTGGAAATTCCAAGGGAAATTGGTTTGAAAATTCATAGTGAAATTAAGGTATTGACTGAGGTGATGACAACAGGTTTCTGTTGAAGTTATTGCAAGGTTAAAAGAACTCAAGGGTTAAAGAAATGGAGATTCCATGGTAGCTGTCTCCTTTTAATTTGAGCAAACTCCAGTTGATCAAAGATAAACTTGACAATAACATCCAGGAGAATAAGCTACCATATGTTTGGGAAAACTGCCTCCAGTGATTGATGCATTGAAGTCCTCCCAGACTCTGATCAGGACACTGCATATTTTCCTGTCTTTATCAGCCCAGCTGTTAGATTATAATAATTCTGATATCTGTTTTCAGGGTCTTTTTACTCTTAGCACAGTCATTGTAGACTACAGGGGCTACAGAGTCATCGCTCAGTCAATTATTCCAGGTAAATGCTGGTGTTTATGTTCACTTGCGTCTGATGGATTTCCCTTGTTCTCTTCTGTAATCTTGTTCTATCACCTGCTTCAAATAACACTCCATTACATCCCTCATTACATAAATTGAGAATAGGATAGATGAATTTTTTTCACTTGTTTGTCACACGATGGAGTCACTTTGAGCTGTATTTATTGTCACCTTTAATGACAATAACTTGAGAACTTGTCAAAAAATTTATATGATTGTGTAGCTGAGTGCATGATCGTCTCTCACTTTATTTATTTGGTTATTTTGTTATTGCATCAGAAGTCATCCATTGACATTTTGTCTGCTTTTCTTCTACTGCAGGTATACTTCAGCGAGAGCAAGAGCAATCAGTTGTTTATGGTTCTATTGACTCAGGAAAAAACATTTCAAGTCATGAGAAATTCTTGGAGCTGGTGAGCTACATAGTGTCTTCATGAATATGTCTTTCAAGGATATTATTGTGTTTCTCATTGATTAACTGTTCCATGTTTCCTTTTAGCTCTACAAGGCTGGCAAATCTATAAGAATAAGACCACACAAGTAAGTTATTAGATCTTTTGTAAGGATCATAAATTTAAGTAGACAGTAAGAAACAGTACCAGAGGGAATGCACATAGAGCAAACAGAAGTTGTCAAGGGAACAGAAGAAAGTCTTGACAAACTACCAAATTCTCTTAAACTCACATAGGAAAAATATGCAATATCCAATAAGAAGAACTTTATTACATTTTGAGCTTCTTGTTGATTGCTCAAATACTATTTCTGATCTGTTCTAGGGGTGTGGTATGTTGCTTGAAATTTCAAACAGTCTTAAATAATGTTCATTTTATTGTTCTGTAGGGTTCTTAACTCTGATTGTGAAGAAGTTGAACTTTGCTCATCAGTAGAATGCAAGGTAAGTATTTTTCTACCTAACCTTAGTACTGACCCATTGTGGAATAGTAGGAAGTTCATGGTTACTTTTTTCCCAATGATAATTATGATTTTTTTTTAAACTTAATAACATGGTCACGTTTTTCAGGGCATCATAGGATCAGATGGACGACACTATATTTTGGATCTCTTCAGAACTTTTCCACCAGATGTTAATTTTCTTGGAGGTGAAATAGTTTGTCTTCTATTACAGCTGTTAACATACTGTTTTCTTGTATAAGTTTCAGCCTCCCTCTTTGCTGTTATCCCAATGCCTCTATCTCCTTCTTTTTCATGTCTAGAAACCTTAGTTTGCTTTCTAAAAGGATAATTTTATTAGCATGATTTAATGACTTTCTGATGCTTTAAAAAGAAGATCTCGCACTGCAGCTTGGAGAACAAGAGACCACCTTGATTCTGAAAGTCATTTGTGACCAAGCTTATCCTTAGACACTAAGGGGTAGTTCAGTGAAGGAAAGGGAATGTGAGACAAAAGATAACCACAGAGATGTTGAGGCAAAGAAAGGGAGCCCAAGGGGAAAGCAGTTTTACCAAGCTCAACTAAAACTTCTTTACATATGGTCCATTGGGTATCCAAATTATATTTAAGACTCTAGAGATGTGTATATAGCTTAACAGCGAAATTAGTTAATTTTTCCACTCTCAGTTTGTAAAAACTTATGGTATTAGAACATTGAATGAACTGTATCTACCATGCATATACTTCGTACGAAGTTTAATTTAATGTAATTTTAATGAATTATGTACGACCCCATAAGCTACTGAGCTTTAATTTTATTGTGCTTAACATAGGTTGTCTGTCGATCTGTCTGTTGTTCTGTCTGTTTGTCTTCTGTCTGTCTGTCCAAATAAGCAATAGTGAAGAATGTAAAATAAATGCAACAGAACATTATTAGTCATGAGGTGCGACAATTTTAACTCTTTTATTATTTTGTAACTATTCCATGGACTTATGAGACGAGTACAATACAATGTATATAATTATATATTTTTTCATTCTCAGAAAGTAATCAAGCTCCTGATAACAACGATGACAAAGAGGCTAAATCAATGTTTCCTCGGCCTTATAAACACAAGCTATGTTGTTTGAGACCTGAGCTTATTGAGGGGTTCATTGCGTAAGTGTCAGTTTAAAACAAAGAACAAACTAATGAAAAAACTTTTTTCATTGTACAAAGTAACAGTTTTTCTCCTTGATTAACTTGCAGGTTGCGATATGTACTTTTCCTTAAGCTGGTCGCCATGCATGTGTCAGCAGCTAAACAGAAGGAAATGCAGGTTGGTAGGGGAACAGTTTGGTCATGCAAAGTTATCAATGTCGTGAGTGATAAAGGTTACAGTGTCTCAAACAATTGACTGACTGATGAATGGATGGACTGGCAGATGGAGGAACAAACAGAATGACAGATGAAGGGATGGATGGGGGATGGACTTGGGCCAGATGGAGTGATAGATGAAGGCATGGATGGAGAGATGGACAGAGGGACGGACTGAGTGACAGACTGGTGGATGGATGGAGTGATGGATGGAGGGATGGGTGAAGGAATGGACGGGAGATAGATGGAGGGGCAGATGGAGGGACAGATGGAATGGCAGACAGGGATGGATGGAGGGATGGATGGGGAATGGATGGAGGGATGGATAGAGCAGTAGACTGAAAGATGAATGGAGCAACAGACAAAGTGATTGAACGGAAAAAGGGATGAATGAACAGACTGACACACAGAGACTTCTTAACTGTTTCACTTACAGATTGTGTAACTGATTGATTCATTGATAGATTAATTCATAAAGTAAAATTTTATCTCAGTGACCTGTGCGGTAAGTGATTGTCTTATTCTGTTAATTGCAGAACAAGAATGACGAGAAGCCTGTAGATGACCCAGATGCTGAGAAGTCTGAATGCCCGTACAAAAATGGACAAAACAGTGATGGTAATGACTCCAAGGGAAGCACTAAATTAGAAGAAGTTGTAAAAGAAGCTGAGGAAGCTACAACACTATCACAAGAAAATACCACAGGTCTGGCCTGTTAGAAGGCTGATTAAAATAATTGCTTTACTTTGCTTGGCCTATAGGATGTCCTAAACTGCTTGAGTGTTTATTTTTTTAACAAATTGTTAAATTTTGTAGATGCAGGTGACATTTCATAAGATGCAATCAAGTCGGCATCCAAGGCAGTTGGGTCAATCAATGAAGCAGGTTGGTTTTTGAATTATTTCATTAGTTAACATAAGCAGTAGTTTGTAAACTAGCATTGTCAATTTATAGTTAAACATGTCAAATAGAGTTTCTAAGTGAACTTTTCACTGCATGTGTTTTAATATTTTGCAATTTTTGGCTTTACATGTGGTTTGTTCCTTATTCCAGAGTTTGATGTAAGATTTAATCCTGACATCTATGCCCCTGGTACAAAGCATGCTCCATCTGAGGTAACTGTTGCTGACCTAATGCTTGTTTTGATTAAGGTTGTACATGAATTGTCTGTCAATGCATCCCTTGTGAATATAGATGGTGTCAAATTAAGATCTTGTATCTGCAGTGGGTGAACATATCTTTTGTTCATCGTTTATAGGAGGCTGCGTTATCTTGTGATAAACTGCTGGTCCAGGATGCATCTGACTTTTTAGTGGAAACTGTCATAATAAAAATGGTAAGAATATTTTTTTAACACTATTCCTACCCTACAGAATGTGAATTTGTCAGTGGCTCAGTTCAGTATTTGTGCGGGATTTTTTAAATAAGCTGACATTCATTTAACCACTTGAACAACAAGAGCAGTAGTTCTTTTCTCTCCAGCAGAGCTTTATATGGCATGCTCATCTTTATGGAGATTAGTTGATGAATTAGGAAAAGTAGTAAACAGACTTCCAGTCATGCAAATGTACAACGTAGTAGCAGATTCCAGTAAAAACTGACAGAAGTATCTATGGTTAAAGAAGTGATGCAACAGTTTCTTACAGAGTAACTTTACAACCTCTTTTGGCAGGTGGAGGATTTTATAAGTTTATCCCAGACACCACTAGATGGTTCACAATTAACAGACATCATGCACAGTAGGTACGTAATTGCTACATGTACAGTCAAACCTTTATTAAGTGGCCACTCTTGGGGATGAGACAACTGGCCGCTTAATATAGGTGGCCGTTTAATAGAGGTTCACCTGAAAACAGCGTTGGGCATGGTCCAGTTTTCAGTTTATCAAATATAAGTACAAACAAATGCAAGTGGAGAAAAAGTAGAACAATGATGGTTATAATACTGTCCATAACGTTAACGAATGCCAAAGAAACAATTACGTTTCCACATTCTTTTACCTTTGTCTGGCAAAAAAACGCCAGATTTCAAATCTTCCTGGCTGTTTAGTAGAGTTATAAAACAAAACAAAATCACCCTTGGGATGGCAAAAAGCTGGCCGCGAGCACTTAATAGAGGAGGGCGTTGAATAGAGGTTTTTATTACAGTGTATAGCTGACAATTTTTCCAGGAGCTGCCTAATAAAGGTTGGCCACTTAACAGGGGCCGCTTAATAGAGGTTTGACTGTATCATGGTCTATCCTCTTCATGCAGTTATAAAGGATCATACAACAGCAAGAGAATCTTTAAATGACTTATCGATAGCAGTTCAATTTCACTCTGACTAACTTCAGACTTGGAGTAGTTGTCAAAATTCTTGTTTGGTTGATATTTTCTGTGTGGTCCTTATTTTGGTAACTTACCATACCTTTGTTTATTTGAATGTGGCCTGGGTCTAATATCATTTCCCTTCGTATTTGACTGAGCTTCCCATTTGGCTAAGGTACAATTAGTATATTCCTAAGATCAGTTGTAGCAATTCAAGTATCAGGATGTTTGTTAATACATAAGTCGGCCTGCAAATACCTTTTGTTGTTCTCATGGTGTTTCAAATTTTATACCTAAAAACTTGTTCTTTATTTATAGGGGAATCAACATGAGGTACTTAGGAAAAGTTGCATCAATTTTATCTCTGCGAGCAGATCTAGAACATGTACATGTAAGTGTTGTATGTTGATATGCATGTTATGTTAATAGTGTTAATTAATGAATCATTACCCTTACAGCTACATTGTACACTAAACTTAACTATAGATATTTTAAAGTAATTGTTGTCTATCCTTTACAATGAAAGCTGATACTTTATAATGACCTGTGTCATAGGATGCTTTCTTAAATAAATGTAAATAAGTGTAGCTACCTGTAGCTGCAGTGGTTTATATGAATTTTTGTTCAACACTTGTTATTGAATAATTCATACGTACGGTTGGACCCCGCTAATTCGAACTCGGTTATTTTGAATTCCCCGTTATTTCAAACTTAAAACCATTTTCTTTGGATTTGCCCTATGGTACCGGTAATTTACTACTGGCTATTTCGAACTTTTGTTTCTTGTTTCCCCTGAGAGTTTGAAATTGTGAGGTTCAGCTTTATAATGGTTCCCATACCCTATTTTTCCATTTTGCTAACTCTTGGCCTCTGTCTACACTTTGCCTCAGGAACTCTGAAAAACAANGGCTATAGTCCAAATATTTTCGACCACAGGTGGCTTATTCTGATTAGATATTGCATACATATTATATTAATCATCCAATGTTGCTTGTAATATCTATTATATTGTGCTAGCTACAACATTACAGTGCAGTTTACAATGCAAACCATGTCTCAATTTGAAGTTAGATGTAAATTGTCAGTCTCTTTTTGGGACTAGTTATTTACAAGCAATCATTTGTTTTCCAAGGCCATCAATAAGAAGAAAAAGAGTAAAAAGAAGCCACTGAAGACAGGAAATGGAGGTTAGAAACTTGAAAATGTAAACTGCCCATTATTCCATGTTTTTTTTTTCACAGAGTTTTTGCTAATGAGAGTTTGGTTGTTTTACATGTGACTAGCCTCCACTGTTGCCTGGGCAACCCTGACCCCGGAGGAGCTGTGGAAATTAATTGCTGATGACACAGAAAAGCAGTTTGGATTTGAACTGAACTGGTTTGTGTGCGAGTGTGATATTCTTGGCTTCATTGTTTCAATTGGTTCAGCTTTATATGTTAAGTTAAGTAAACTAAATTTTAATTAATTCCTTTATTTGTAATTTGATTGCAGCAAAAACAGTGATGAAGTTTTCCTTAAGTATCGCATTCACAGAATTGCCTTGCTTAGGTCATTCTGTTTAAAAACAGGTAATTGAACTTGCTCATTGATTAACTTTGATTTTTAAACATCTTCTCATAACAATTAATCGGTACGGAAACAATCACAGCAATCAAATAATTTCTGATCTTTAATTGGCCGAGAGTTTGGATGTGGGAGGAATGGGGGAGGGGTGGGTCAGCTGAAAATTACTTGACTCAGCAGCTCTGTTGCTCCAAAATGCAACTTTAGCTAAAAATAATGATGCAAGATCAGAATGTTGTGGCTTTTTTTCACTGAAGGTGTCCAGATCTTGTTACGGGAGTATGATTTTGAGAGCAGAAAACACCCAACATTTACAGAGGATGATATCATGAATCTGTTTCCAATAGTGAAACACACCAACCCTAAGGTCAGTAGACAACATTGTGAGCTTTTCACTGGAGACATGTTCTCTTTCTGTCTTGACCTCCTGCTCTGTATAATTTACAAAATGTGACTTCTCTGATAACATGTATAAACATTGCAGGCATATGATGCATCAGCTATATTTGAGGCTGCACAAGGTCGGCTTCAAGGAGGTTAGATATAATAATATTAATAAATGTTACATTCAGTCTGTCTGTCAGTCTGTCTGTCTGTCTGTCTGTCCATCTATCTGTCCATCTGTCCATCCGTCCATCCATAGTAACCAAAGCCAAAGTAACTGCCTGATTACTTTTGACACTCCATGGAAAACTGCTCTATATGCATGTGAATTTGGAAAATGATTCTGTTCGTACTCATAGCATAATATCTTAACTTGATGCATTTCATCAGGTCTTCTTGGAGAAGCCCATGAACTTATGGTGGAAGCTCTCAATCTTTTCCATCAAGTATACGGTCCTTTACATGCAGACATTGCTACCTGCTACAGGTATTCATTATTTGTTATTCTGTTTTTTCATGAGTAACAGGTTAAAATGAACAGATATTGTATCTATTGTAGAATATATATTGGTAGGTCTTGAAATGTACAGCCCTAAGAAAAATCATCAAATTTAAGTCTTCCAGACAAAAAAACGTAAATTTCAGTGTCAACGTCAAGATTCATTTTGTCATTTGAAAGTGTGCGAATCTAGCACTGCAGTGCAGCCAATCTTACTGAGCTTGACAAATGTGACATCCTTGAAAGTTAAAATTAATGCTCAACATGAATCTGCTGGATTCAAATTATGGTTATTAACCTGAGTGAATTTATCAATCCCAGGGCGATTGCAAGACTCCATTACTTAGCAGAAGATGCAGTACAGGTATAAACAGAACAGTGTACAATCTATTATTATGCGAACTATATCACAAACACAAAAGACTGTGCCTTACTACATTTCCAAACATTGAGAAAAGAGACAAAAATATGACAGAGAGTATATTTGACAAACTCTGAGGTGCATTGAAACTGATACTGAAGAGAAATGAAAATTAAATTGAGAAGAAATAAAATTAATTGTTTAAAATCTCTCTAATTGAGATCAGAGTTCCAAACACTGTCATGATTTTGATTTTCTTCTTTTAAGGTTAATGAATTGTCTAAGTCTGAGAATTTTAATTTAACTGTTTTCATTGTTAAATGCTCATTTGATCCTATGTTTGAAGGAGACATTTGTGATAAATCTATTGTGTTTGATATTGCAGGCTGTGAGCTATCAGAAGAAGGCTGTGATAGTCTGTGAGAGGGTATTTGGTGTGGATCATCCTGATACAATCATTGCATTTGTAAGAAAATTATGCCTTAAATCTCTTTTTCAGTCATTTAAAAAAAAACTTGGCTGACACAAGGAGAACTCTAGCATTTTCAGAAAGATAACCCTAATTTCTGTTTTCTCTGAAGATTCTTCCCTATATTTAATTCATAAAAATGTATTTGTGCTGTGCACATTTCTTCTCTCCCCTCTTGCCAAGCACTCCATGCCCCACCCAACCCTTCAGGGTGGGATTCAAGATCATTAGCATTTTCCATGAAGCTTATTAAAGGATTTAGACCATGCTAAAATGCCTTCTGGAAGAAAAATTCCTGTTAAATTTTACCGACAAACTCACATAAATTACGGCCCAAACTACCCAGGTATCACAGAAAATAGACCTTTTTCGACTGGGCGGTTTGTTGCCCCATTTCAGACCATGTGATGATACTCTTGAGAGTTCTTCCTTTCAAATTTTCAAATAGTCATGTGTATATGAATAAATAATTTTAAGATTGATAAAGGAACAATTCTCTAGAGAATATCAAGTGGTCTGTAATTGGAAAACAAACCGCTCAAGGGAAAAAGGTCTATTCCAATCAGTTGAAATTTAATATTTTCTTTATATTTATTGTTTACCCAACAGGTTCACCTTGCTCTTTACTGCCACAATGCCGGCCTGGCATCTGTCGCATTAAAACTGATGTACCGAGCAAGATATTTGGCGCTAGTAGTGTATGGAGAAGGACATCCTGACATGGCTACTTTTGATGTAACTAACTTTATCCGAGTAATATTCTACAACTGTAAAGAGAATGGCATACATATAGTACTTTGTTATTTTTCTTCTGACACTAGAACATCCTGGTCAGCATTCTTTGTGAGAAAGCACAGGCATTTGTAGGCTAAAAGAGCTACATCCCGGTTCACGCATCTTGAAAAGTTTAGGGAAAATTTTTCAAGTTCGTCGTTTGTAATCCATGTCAATCTTCTCCATCCTTAACCATCCTTGTTCCTTTATGGTTTATTATTATCTCTTTGGTGTTTTTATCTCTCAGTGAACTAAGATTTTCAGGTTTCCTTCAATTTAAAGGTAATTTTGCACATGGTCAAAACAACTCAACATACCGTGACTGAGCTCTTTTAAAGGGGCCTAATCAGCCACACCTTTTTTTTTTTACATGTGAGAGTTTGGCTATTATATTTTATTTGGAGCATGTCGAAATGAAGTAAATCACTGTGGAACTACCAAAGATAATTAAACATACTTTCAGGAACAACTTACAGCAAAGCAGATTTTGCATCACCATGCAATGTCAATAATTTTGATGGCATTGAAAACGGCAGAGGCTGACTAGGGTCCTTTTATGTTGGCTCACAACATTGATCAAATGCAAGTCATAATGACCTGAAACTTTATAATGTTTATAAAGTGTGATTTATTCCCGCTATGTTATTGTGATTCCCAGAGCAACATTGGTCTTATCCTCCATGGGCAGAGGGAATTCAAGATATCTGAGAAGTTTCTTGAAAAAGCTCTGGATGTTCAGCTAAAGTAAGCTTTGCTATACATGTCGATGACCATACATTTTCAGCATTTCATGCAACTTGAAGTGAACCTACCCTTCAATCAGTAGTGATAATACTATTGTCATTATTTAAGCTGTTCTTGAAGCTAGTTTAAATAAATAGATAAATAAATGAATACATGTACCACTGAATGACAGTTGAGATTGTCTTGATGTACAACCAAATTCTGAGAATGAACATTAAAACATTGCAAAGAATAGAGCAGTTTTCACTTAAGTGGCGAAAGCAATCAGAGTGAAGCCATGGAAAGTTAACCGCCTTCCACATGAACAGGACTTGAAAAAAGTGCAGTCTGGTCGTCCGGGACAAGGAGATATTTCTTCTGGGCAGGTAACATTTTATTCTCACTTGCCCGTGGGCAAGGGATCAGGCAAGTCATCTGCCGACTAAATCATTAGGCAAAGGCAAACTAAGAGTTGTCCAGGACAAGCAAAATTCGAGAGCTACTTTTTAAGGGCCTGGAAGAAATCACATTTTTTATGTGGCTAAATATCATTTAGGCAAGGTTAAACTTGAGCTAATGCAGCCAGCTAGCGTGCCCATCCAGCTAATATCATTTAGGCAAGTTAAATNAGACGCTAAATTAACCAATCAGAGCGCGCGCTTTATTTTAGTTATGTTATAAAAGGTATCTAACTGTTGAGTCCTTTCAGACTGACGATGCACTCGTACATCAGTAAAGAAAAATTGCTTAATTTAAAACACTCCCAGTAATTGGAAGAGGTTTCAGGGCATCCAGTGTAATTTCCAAATGCAACAGAAGCGTGTTTTTATCTAAGAATGAACTTAACTGTCGTCTCAATAATTATAAGGCATCTCAATACCCAATTGGTACTCATGTGACGTGGTGAACAAAATAATAGTTAAGTGGTTGATTACTGCAGGGTAAAGGGAATACGAAATTTTAACCTCAGCTACAAGAAGTGACACTTACAGAAAGATTCCTCCTGTAGCGATTTTTTTTTTTGATAGTTTGGAAATGTGGTTGCTTGTGAGGGGTAGTCCTACCCAAGAGGTTGTTGCATAAAGAGGTTTCGGCTGAATTTTGATTCTCTTTGTATGAGGTCTTATGTGTTGCTGTGTATGGTTATGTGGCTTTTGAGATGTTCAACTGAAGAAGTCTTCTTAAAATTCAATGATTTCAGCACTAATTGACATTTATTTGTCAACTCTTGAAATTTAATGTCGTGTGCACGCCATTTTGTTCATAGAGCTCTTCTGGCTGCTGCTGGGAGCATGTTACTCACTTGCAACAACCAAACTTTAACAAAAATAATTAGGGATGGCTTGAAGGGAAATAAAAGATTCTTTCATAACGTTTTAGTTTGTTGATCTTTTTTAGATAAATTATTTATCAAACATGAGTGTGTTTGACCACATTTCCAAACACCGAAAAGATAGCTGCAAAAAATGACACTAATTGGAGTTATGTTTGACAAACTTCAAGGTATTTGTAACTGCAGTTCAACACAGTCTTGAATGTTTGATATGTCTTCTCAGTTGAAACTAAAACTAAGGGGAAAATGGAGAAATAGAATCGTGGAACCTATGCTAATTAAAATTGGATATCCAACCACCACAACAATCTTGATTTCCTTTGTTTAAACTTGATGAATTATTATGAATGAGTTTGAGAACCTCACTGTCAACATGTAAGTTCTCTTGTCTAATTTTCCATTTCCTGTAATTTGTAGATTTGCTTTTAGTGATCATTTCCAACATTCATCTGACTTGTTCTGATAAACTGTGCAGTTTGGTGGAACCTGTGATTTCCCTTTCAACAGCACAAGACACCAAGGACAGAGTTGATAATTTTTTATTGGCAGTTCTTTCTCATATGATTTCAGCCAATATCAAAGATGACAATGTTACATTAGAACATTAAATTGTCTGAAAACACAGCTGTCACATTACAGCAGTACTATATGCAGAAGGAATGTAATTCTAGCCAATAATTATGTGGAATTATGCTACAGCATCTGCTGGTAGTCCTGACGTCAATATCCGCTTTGCATTTTGGCTGTGAAAATGCACAGTTACATGTTATTTTCATGAAGGGCAATAAATAAATGTCAGCATTTCTAAACAAACTCCAACCAATAATTTATTATTGGTTAGCTGGAAAGAGCAAAGAACTGAATCATTTATACTTTTCTGTATTTGTCCATTTGCATCCAATGGAAAAATCGTATTGTTCTAAGTAAGAACATAACCCCACCCACCATTTTTTCTGATCCTCTAATAATTAAATGATGTCAGTGATCTTTAGTTCTGGCATCAACATAACATTTCCGTTGGAGACTTCTTCAATTATCAGGACTAACATGCCTGACTTGCATGACAGTTAAAATTTTTGTTTATTGCTTTTCATATAGAAACAAATCCCATCTGATATAACCTTTGCACTGACAAGACATTGTGCAGTTAATCTCTATGTACACCCCTATCAGTAATATATAACTTGAAGAAAACTACAAAATTGCTTATTCAAATAGATTCACTCTTGCTATATTTTCAAGAACTACACCTTGTGCTCTACAGGTATGGTAAACACAAGGTAACAGCTATTTACAATGATTCATGCAACCAACATTTAAAATACATAGCATAACACTAACCAGGAGTGGGATAAAATGGCAAGAATCTAGGAGTCTACCAATAGAGAAACTAGAGTAATTATAATGGTAGAAATCTAAAAAGGATCAATTACATTTTAACAAACAGTAACTGAACTCATATCAGACAAAACAATAGCAAGAAGTGTTGATTTTTATTTTCCTAGACTCCATTTCATACCCTGAACACCCATTCATTTTACTTTGAAGGCCAGTTGAAAATTAGTGTTTTCTAGTTTGATATTAAATAACCAAGTTCAACATAATTAAGGTTCTGTATATAACATGAAGACTATAGAAAGCTACTATACACTTGGGCTATTTCTATTTATTGCTAACTAATATTTATATTAACAGGTTGATAATGTACACATTGCAGCAGCTTGCTGGGTGTGGCCTAATGCACAGGAGGTGCTGGAGGCTGAGGGCCAGGGCCTCTCTGAAAATAAAATATAATTAAAAGACATTGCTAGAAATGTTAAAAAAAGTGAGACCTAATTGTTATCATTCCCACCGTTCAGCTTTTGAAAGAGCGTATGATAACTACACTAAGTTTGATTTTCATGAAATAATGTAAGAACAAACTCTAAAACCCTAGCTAAACAGTTACAGAGTTAGGAAAGTGGTCCTGTTCAGCCAAATCTGAAATTTGTGGATTGTTTCATTAACTTACATCACTGCGACTCGGCTTCTCTGCTCCTTGTCTCATACTTTGAGGCCTGATGAGAAACAGTAATTAAAAATGTCTAACAGTTAACTCCTTATGTACACACAAAGTAAACTACTAATATAACTTTCTACACATTAAATCTCTTCCATTTGAAGAAACCTTATGGATTACATTTCTGTATGCTACAGGTAGCTGTTGGTATACCAGACATAATGTTGATTTAGTTAGGGAAACCCGACATAGGACAGTATTTAAGTCACTTGTGAGTACTGGAACAGTAAACCTTTAAAAATATTTCTCCTATAATTGTTTTAACAAAGGCCCTATTCCCAGTTGAGGGAGGAGAAATAATGATGTTGAAGAAATTCTTTCTCTTTTCTACTGGTGGAACATAAACACCACATGTGATGGACCTTTCCTTGTCACAGTTTGCTTGGTAACTTGTGACAATTTTGATATCAGTGGCTCTTGCTCACCTTCGATTCTCCCTTGCATCTATCTACAACTCAGTGTATTATGACAACATGTAATATTTAAGAAATAAAAAACATGTACTGAGAGTGGAAGTTTGGGAGAACAAGAAATGCTGAGGGAAAGAGCTTCTATAATTTGATGGAAACACAGAGAACATGTTCTCTATTTCTTTTAGAAAATCTGTGACCAAAAAAAGAAAATAACTTGTTTCCTTTGATCATCAAAGTGTAAAGTTATTCTCTTTGCTCACACCATCATCACGTCAACAATTCATATTAGTTCTGTGTTTCTATTAAGTTATAGAAACATGACTTTAAACAAATCAGTGCTGACATTTTCTCTGGGCTATTTTCTAAAAGGATAAAATAAGGTTGCAAGGTGTGCCTCTGTGGCTTTTATAACATAACTGAGATACTATGCATGTTCCCATTGGTCAATAGGTGTGTTTAGATAAGAGTATGTAAACACAGCTGTGACATTTTAGATTTGTGCAAATTTTTGCGAAATATTTCATCAAAGCAGAGTACTTTTTCCGTGTTTACATAACCTTATCTAAACACTTATGGGGTTGAGAGAATCTTGAAAGTTATGCAAACCCTCACCTGCTTTACAGGTTTGCATAACTGCCTTGAATTCTCCACACCCCCATGCTTAGATGAAGCTATATAACCATGGAGAGAGTGCTCTATTGCTAAATTTCAATACTCCATGTAGGTGCACAGTAGATGGACTGATGAGTAAATATCAAGTTATTACCTGAGAAGATAAAGCACAAATGCAATGACCATCCAAGCCATCATGATGTAGAAAGTTGTGTGACTATCTCCTCCTGTGTCATTCCCTTGTGGCCCTGGAACTGTGAGACCAAAACATTTACAATTCAAATCAGTTGTATGAATCAAGACGTCTTTCAGGTGTACTGTAATCATGTTACCATTACCACTATTAAGAACAAACTGTAAACAGGCTAAAGGTAATGTTACATGAGCCGATTTTTAATCCATGATACGCTAGACAACTTTTGATGCAACTTTGTTGCGGCAACAGTTGGCAACGGTATGTTACACAAGACAATTTTTAATGCGGCATTGTAAATTCGGGCAACAATGTTGCAAGTTTTTGAATCACTTTCAAATATCTGCAACATGTTGCCCCAACGAAATGTTGCGTTATATTGTAAAAGTCACCTAGTACCCCATGTTACACAACATTGATTTTTAATGCAACATTGCTGTGTTAAAAATCAGCATTAATAATTGGCTACTGCATCATCAGCTTAACCTGAGCATTATTAATATTTAGGTTTATTCAAGCTCTAGTCTCAAGCACACCACACTACTACTGAGGTGAAAAAGAGAGCTATCCAAATAAACCAAATACTGTAACCGGAGGCAAATTTTATGAAATTTGTCCGAGGTAAACAACAAAATTCTCTGTGAAATTTGCTTTCTGTGTTCATGCATAGATAACTCATCTTCACTTGTCATTCACAAGTGGACGATCATTAAAATTAATTCTAATGATTTGCAAATTTAGAACAAAAAAATCTAAAATATTCAATCGAGTACAAGTTCATGAACATTATGTCTGGTGAAATACCAGGATTTAAAATGGGGACGTGAGTTAAATATTAATAAATCTACGTCATTGCTTTAAAGAAGACTTTGGAAAGGTATGCCTCTTGAATGAATAATAATTAATTATTAATGTTGACTTGAAATATAATGTATGACGGCCATCATACTAAGTCTGGCGAACATTGAACATGAACACCTTTTAAAAGAGAATAATTTATCGAAGCGACAGTGGAAAAACCCCCAGCATTTTTCGTTCACATAGAAAACAGTTCCATTTTAAGATTCTACATGAGTTTATCGGCTGATATTTAACCCTTGTTAGAAACCTACGTCGAGTGCCATCATTAACCTTGCCCAATATTTTTTCAAAATAGTTGACACTTTTGAATACATTTCTGGAGTATTTCAGCAGAATATAGACCAACTTACGTTCTTGCAAGCACTGGTTATCGGTGCAGTAGCTCTGTGACGATCTTAGCTGCAACGAAAAACCGGAAATTTTCACACTCAATGATTTCTCGGCATGCAGCTCTATAATTCCAAGAAGCGACCGCACTACAGGCGTGAAGCATAAAAGATTTGTTCAGAAAGTATTAAAAAGGCATCATGACTACTTACTAAAGAAATCAACCTCCGCATTGCGCCTTCATGGCTGCATATACACTCGCACGGGTCAAACGAATCACCTCCCCCGCCGTCCATGTTGACTTCAAGTTGGTCTTCGGAGCGGCGTTTGAACAAGGATGTTTCGTTTCTTCAACAACGCTACGTTTTCTTTGCGACGAAGTGCGACTTTGCTCAGCACGATTGCTCAAGAAAGCAAACACAAGAGAAAACAAAATACCAGCGTTTTTCCCCAAGCTGCTAACCCGATCAACACGAAAATATTAGGTAATAGGGTTGAAACGATCGCGTCCAAAACACAAAGCGCCACGTATTGTTTTGGTAACAATCCCGGATGACGTCAATTACGCATGCATGAAATGTCTCCCGTCAGGACAGGTGAAGTTGTCCGGTCCGCGAGCTGTCCGCGAGATCTTTTATACATACTTCCTAGCTTTTCAAGATTTCATCAACTCTCAGCAGATTTATTTCAAGGCCAGTCGTATAGACCAGGATCGAACTACTAGAGAAGCCTCCTAATATTTTTAAAAAAGAACAAGATTTTTCATTTTACAACACACGTTTCGACATTCCTATGTCATCTTCAGTTGCAAATGTTCGACGATTGTACATTTGAATTTTCACAGTATACATGATAACGCTATAGAATTACGCCATAAAATTTACGTTAACAATTTGAATATAGGAATACACTGGGAACAAAGGACTGCGCGCGCGCCAACAGTCGTTGAAACAACGTCGAGTACCCCCTCTCTCCCCGCCTTCTTGAACCTCTTCTCCCGAAAAGGTACTGTAAGACTTGACGCAACGTATTGTAAGTAGTTTTCTGTGAGCAAAGTATTGTATTTAATTTACATGTATGTAGTGTACGTTTAGTAATGTAATTTATTATATAAACACCAGTGAAATACCAGGATTTTTCCTTTTACTAAAAAATCATATCTTCACCGCGCGTAGTAAAGATACTATGTTTATCTTTCATACTGTGAAGATATCATTCCTTTTTGATAACATTTTTCTTTTGTCCCTTTCACTACACTTAAATTTGTTGATGTATAATCGAAACATCTTCGGATCTTCCTCGGCAATCTTCGGAAATGTTAAGTTGTGTGTCATATTTTACTGTATTATAAGTGCAATAAAAAACTAAAAAATTTCAAAAAGAAAAAAACAGTAGTTGAAACAGGATCAGAAATCAAATCAAATAAAGCAAAAAAATTAAAAAGAATTAAAACATGACTCTTTTTCATGGCTCTTCTCTCTTTGTCTCTTTCTTTTTAATTCTTTTTCATTATTTTTGTTCATTTTATTTAAATTTTTTGATTGTGTTTCAACTACTGTTGGCGCGCGCAGTCCGTTGTTCCCAATGTATTCCAATATTCAAATTGTTATCGTGAATTTTATGGCGTAATTCTATAACGTAATCATGTATACAATTAAAATTCAAATGTATAACCGTCGAACACTTGCAACTGAAGATAACATAGGAATGTCGAAACATGTTTTGTAAAATGAAAAATGTTTTCTTTTTAAAAACTGCTGTTACTCTGCTGTTTTTACCTCTAAAATTATAAAAATGCGCCACTGTTTTTCTCTTCTGGAATAATTGCCAGCGCTATTTGTTCAGCTGTCGATTCTGTTTCAAGTTATTGACTATCTCTATAGCAACATTGATTGATACTCGGACAACTGTTTAAATAAATTTTGGTTCTAGGTAGCTCCAGGGGAAAAAAGAACCTTTCATCGAAATTTATTAGCATTAATTATTATTCTTACTATATCTTGGGTGACAAATTACTCCTTGGTATATTCGTAAAATTAAGAAAAACATTCCAATTATTTCCCTTGCCTAAAGGTTCGCATCATTACAATTGTGACAAAACGCGCGTGGAATTATTTCCTTTTTCCACTCGTCATGATTTGATTTTTGAATAAAACGAAAAACCAACCTTGTTCCCAGGGTCTCTCTCCTCTGCCTCTCTTGAAGAGAGTGCCTGGGAACAAGGTTTTCGAAAAACTAATCATCACCGTCGCCATCATCATCATCGCGTTCCTTTACGTTCCCCGGGGGGTTATGGGGCATCTCAGGTCAGTTCCCTTAAACGCACGATGCATGGTTCTTTGGTAATGCTTTGGTATCCTGAGGCATGGACCGTTTCCGGTAGCAGGACTGTCGTTACTTGCAAGCGTAGAGCGATACGATCTCCGTTTAGATCTGGTCGCCTAGGATCCAGTGAAAACTGGACCGTCGGAGTCAGGAGCAGAAACTCTAGAATTCTTCCGCCTCTAGTTTTCACTGGATGATAAGCAATGACGTCATAAGGGGAATGAGAAGAAATTGAAAACCTTCCGAGTTTGTTTCGTCGAGCTTTTGACACGGCTATACGACTCCGATTTTTGTTTTCCTTTATACCATCATATATTAAAAGCTACGACTCGTGAAAATACAGATCTTGTAATATCCCATNGTTTGCTTAAAAAGACTTGTGTTTGCTTTCAGATATGAAATGCATGGCTGCCAGGTGTTGTGGGCCATTAGAGATGATGCTATAGGCAACACTTTCTTTGATGAGGGTGCAGCTACTTTCTTCCTTCCTCACCTTTGTCCTAATCTTCCTGTTTTGAGAGAGAAACAAAAGTTTATGGAGACTACTGTTAAAAGAAGGAAATATGATATTGAGACCGTGCAGAATGACAACTGTGGTCAGTATGCTTAACTGTGGTCAGCTATTTCTATCCCAATGTAGCCACTGTAGAGAGTGTCACCTGTAGTTTACCTGATCTGGAGAAAGTATAGAAAATAAAGATGTAGTCTTTAATTAATGAAAAAGGTCTGGAAAAGGTCTGGACTATTTTCCAAGCTACAACAGGCTTAATTGTGCAGTGAAATCCTTGTTAAAAAATTTCTCTTTTTGAAAATGTTCAATTGCAGATCTAAAATCACAAGGACTATCTCTCTGTCTGCTTTACCTGCTGACATCATTATTGTCCACATTCCATTATGGTTACTCTGTTCCCATTGTGTCATGTTTTTTTTTAATCAATAGTAGTATGGAAGTAGTGTATCAATCATGTAAGACCATGTTTGACCACATTTCCAAACACTGAGAAGAGAGTTGAAAATATGATGCGCAGCAGAGTATTTTTGACGAACTTCGAGGTGTTAAGAAATGTGGTCAAATGCTGTCTTGAGTGTTTGATATATCTTCTGAATTGAAACTAAAACTAAGGGGAAAATGGAGAAATAAAGTGGTAAAAATCTATGTTAATAAGATCAGATATCCAAACACCAACACGGTCATGATGTCCTATGTTTAAACGTCATTAATTATTAATGAGGTATTGCATTTTGTATGTACAAAACAGCCAAAATGATCGTACTTTCTGAAAGAAGGTTAAAGCAGAAAAGGTGTCAAACAACAGCACATTTTGTGTTAAATTGAATTTTATCACAAGCTCACCATCACCTTGTGGTTACAGTTAGGCACCCTGCGAGGAATCAGATGTTCAATCAGGAATTACTGCAATGCTCAATTAATTCAATAATACTGAGGCTTTTGAACTGATGAAAAAGTTGTATTACATATTCGCAGTTTACAGAATTATTCAACAATGTTCAAATCATTGTGTACACTACATGTATTCCTCTATGATGGAAAAATATAAAACAAGATGCAAGATACTGAAAACAATAGCCTGCTTTTTTCAATGCATTGCTTTATTATACAGGAATGTAGTACATATAAATGTTATATATGTAAAGTTTGTAATGATGGCAGTTTTATTGCTTGACTTGAAACATGTCACTAATATCATGACTTATTGCAGTTAACCAATTTTCTTTCTGATAGTGGAGCCCCATACTGGTATATGAAAGAAAAGGAAACCCATAAATTGATTTTCTCATGGTTATCATGGCTAGCGGTATTGCTCCTGGGCGCGTATGCGCATCAACAATGGTGTCATGCAAGGTGGCGGCCATATTCCAGTTAATAGGTTGGCATGCAGCCTTGGTTTATAGGGTCCTTTGACATTAGACATGCCTGTTATGGTCAATTGACACCTGTCAAAACGAGGTATCTGCTGACCAGTATCACCTGACCATGTTGCGGGCTCAAGGTTTAAGCTCTTCAAGGTCACTTATTTTTTTTAAGTTGACCACTGGCCAAGTGCTGGTTTTTGATTGGATCACAGGCTCATGTCAGGTTAACTGGTTGTAATCAGGGCCGGGTTGTTTGGAAGCCGGTTAATGCAAACCCAAGATTAAAAGTTAATTGAATTATAAATTTTTCTTGTAAACAAATGTTTTTCACTGCTTTTGTTTTGTGTACTTTGAGATTACTCAAACTCAAAACAGAAGGCCAAACAATATACAGGAAACCTCACCGCAAAGTTACAAAACTCAAATCAAAATTCTTGCTTATCCTGGGTTAGCTTAATCCAACTTTGCACAACCCGGCCCAGGAGCTCCACTTTTAGGCTTGGCTAAATCTATGTATTAAAACTTTATACTTATCTTTAAATTCTTATGGTGACATGTAAGTTAGTTGCATTTTGTTGTTTTTTAGGGACTGGTGGCTGTATTGATCGTTCTCAGAGTATGTGTGGAGGGGCATTAGGACCAGACTGGAGCTCTGACCTCACTCTTTGTGGTGCCCGCAGCAGTCAAGATATAGCTCAAAGACAGGTTCACGTTGAATACAAGTGTAAAGTAAAACAGATGTTTGAACCAGAAGAGTTTAAAATGTCTGGACTGAAGGAGTCACCTCTTCCGTCAAATAGTAATGGTTCAGACAGCAATTCAGCTTCTGATTGGCCAGTGTACATTCAACTTTCAAATGGGAAAATTTATGGTTGTGACCTCATAGTTTCTGCTACAGGTGTTATTCCTAGTACCCAACCTTTTATACTGTGTGCTCCATTTGATGTTGCAGAAGATGGTGGTCTTTCAGTTAATTCAAACATGCAAACAAGTATTGAGGATGTTTATAGTGCTGGTGACGTTTGTACTGCATGCTGGAACCCAGCTCCTTGTTGGTTTCAGATGAGATTGTGGAGCCAGGCACGACAGATGGGTGTGTTTGCAGCAAAGTGTATGTCAGCACATTTGTCAGGCGAAAAAATTTCTCTGGACTTTTGTTTTGAGTTGTTTACACATGTGACTCAATTCTTTGGATATAAGGTCATTTTACTAGGAAAATTTAATGCTCAAGGATTGGGAAATGATTATGAATTACTTGTAAGATATACAAAAGGTGATGAATATGTTAAAGTTGTCCTACATAGAGGCAGAATGTGTGGAGCTGTCTTAATTGGTGAAACAGATCTCGAAGAAACCTTTGAGAACTTAATTTTGAGTCAAATGGATTTAACTGCAATGAAAGACCTTTTGCTTAATCCTGACATTGATATAGAAGATTACTTTGACTGACAGAGCTCCTATTGATTGATTGTTCAAATAGTTAGACACCAACAAGTGTGAAGGATGAAGTTAAAGGAGGTCACTCCAAAAACCGTGTATTTTTTTCCATCAGCAATAAAAAGTTCACATTGAGTTGAGTTACTTACCGTTGTTTTAGCTTCTGAAGTGGATGCGATCCCAATGAAAAAGAAGTGAAAAGTTTGACACCGGGAGCCGCCATTTTGAAAGGATCTTGAAGGCCAGGCCGCATATCCGTGACGTCATTCCGTCCGANTTCCCTTAAACGCACGATGCATGGTTCTTTGGTAATGCTTTGGTATCCTGAGGCATGGACCGTTTCCGGTAGCAGGACTGTCGTTACTTGCAAGCGTAGAGCGATACGATCTCCGTTTAGATCTGGTCGCCTAGGATCCAGTGAAAACTGGACCGTCGGAGTCAGGAGCAGAAATTCTAGAATTCTTCCGCCTCTAGTTTTCACTGGATGATAAGCAATGACGTCATAAGGGGAATGAGAAGAAATTGAAAACCTTCCGAGTTTGTTTCGTCGAGCTTTTGACACGGCTATACGACTCCGATTTTTGTTTTCCTTTATACCATCATATATTAAAAGCTACGACTCGTGAAAATACAGATCTTGTAATATCCCATGGGGCAAAAAAGAAAAAAACACCGCATTTCGAACCAACCACATTAGGGGGTTTTTAATAGTCCTTCGCGGTTGCTCTTTAGCGTCAAGAACGCTACGAACTCTGCTATCGCAGCTCGACTGAGGTATAATGAGCTTTCTATCCAGTTCCATACAAAGAACCCTCAACTCTTATTTCAATAGTTTTCACGAGGTATTTTTTCAACATAAAGCTAGCGTTGAAATTGTTTATCCACTTTGTTTTACCTTTGCCATAAGCCAATGAGGCAATTAGATTTTAGATTCACTCCCCCAGTTTCGGTATTCGCTCAAACATCACTGAGATAAACATGGATAGAAAAATACACTGTAGTTGCATTTAATAAAACGTTACATCCATTGCAACAATTTTTGGATTTCTCAGCTTCTGTAAGCAAAGTCATATGCAGACTGAACTCACATTCATACGCATGCAGCAGAATTAATAAAACATTAAACAGACGTCTAGTTTTAAATGAAAAAAGTTAATGCGACAAAAAGAGACGGAATGAAGATTCCTTGAAAATGGTGTGATTTAGATAAACAGCTAGTTTTAAAAAGCTATGTAAATCTTGTTTGTTCACAAATGTGGTTGAAGCGACTGAAAAACAAGCAACAAAAAACAAGTATTAGCTAATGGTACCATAGGAAATATAGATGGAGACTACTAAGAAAAATCCCCAGACCATTACATCAGTATTGAAACTAACCATGAATGTGACAGAAATGTGAACGTTGAATTTGCAGAAACAAAGCTTTTCTAAAGGGTACGATACCATATTATTTTTTAGCCCCCAAGTCGATACCGTTTAGCCTGCGAGCAGGCGCACGTTGGAGCAGAAGCGCGCGACGTAGCCGCGAGCGCGAAATCAGACTCCCCCCCGCCGGATTGCTTTGCTCTTCGCCGCTCGCGTGCGTGACTCAAAGGTGAGCCTGCTAGCAGGCTACTAGCCGTTAAGTTTCCAATCAGAAGTCGATTAGCCCCAAACAGAAGTCGAAACACTGTCAATTTCTCGTTCTTTAAGCTTACATGGAGGCTAATCGACGTCTGGCTAGGAGCTAACCGGCAAGGGGTTGATCGACTTAAGCGCTAAACGACTTAGGGTTAGTCGACTTGGAGGTTAAACGACTTACATTCTTTTAATATCATATCTAGTTTGCAACTTACCTTGCGTGAAGTGGTTTGTTTTTTTGAGTGCGGCAGTGTTTGCCCCAGTAACAATCAGCACGACTAAGAACAGAGTCTGGGGCAGATTAAACAAATTATTACATCATTTTACAGTAAAGAGATAGTCCTTACAGAGCCTAAACACTTTTCTTTTTGCAGCATTAAATAGCTACCGCCCAGGATGGTATTAAGTTACCTGTAAAATTACTGCTAGGCATTTATTCAGACTATGGCATTGTGAGAGTAAGAGACCCAACATGACAGACCTATTCCAAGAATGGCGGCCACCATTATCCACTGTTTTCTAGACAAGTTTCATCAAACAGGCCCTCGAAAATGTTTCAGTGTTTCAGTTATGACTTATTTTCAAGAAATTTACATGAAAAAGTCCCCCTTAATTTCCCGTTAGACAGGATATACTTTTAACACTCACTACAGTGATTCATTTTCACTTGAAGGAAATGAGAGTAATTTAATTTTGATGGCAAATGTTTCTTCTGGGCCAGCATGGGCTAAAACCGAGTTCTCCCATTCTAACACCAGCGCACTGCAAACAGGCCACTATAGTCGCTTCTATCAGCTGACATTTCCAGAAGCAAACAAATGAAGGAAACCTTTAACACACCTGGCAACTCCTCTCTTGGTATGTCTCGACGGAACTGGTAAGCAAGCTCCTGGAAATTTCGTAATCCACATTTATAGCAAAGCACAGTAGAGGAGTTGAGATCATGAGAAGCCGCATCTGTTGAAAAATAACCCTAAACATTAATCTTTTGCGAAAAGGGATGTAGAACAAGGGTTGAGGAACAGAGATTTTACTTTGAGATTTGTGAATATGTAATGCAGCCCTATTCCCCCAGAGGAGAGCTAGGAACTAAGAGGAGAAAATATGTAATTTGTGCAGAATAGAATTTTACTCACCCACTGATGTATATTCTTTAGAGTCTAATTTTTGGAGACATTTCTGGAGTAGGTCTTGTTCACTGAGACCTTGCTCAGTTAAATAATCCTGCGAGAAAACAAATAATTAGAGAAAAATAAGCATGTTACAGGAAATACAAGGTGCCTTGGACAGCCTACATATCTACAAGTACCAGTCAGCTGGACTATGCATCAATTAGCACTTAATGACTGGCCCCGCGGGAAACAGGGAGTTTTGTTTCCCCAAGACCCTCAATGTTCCCTGAGGCGAAGCCTGATCACGTGCGAGTCAAAAAATTCAAGTTGTTGTTTCCCTGGAGAGTTAGTGAGTTTTGTTCGCCCTAGGGAGTCAGTGAGTTTTGACCCACAACACGTGACACATTCTCCTCCAATTGGAAAACGTATTTGAGTTGTAAGAAAAATTGTAAGTCAGCAAATTTGTAAGTCAGCCGGTGTCAAGGAAACGATTTCTTCACAGTTTTTTTCTATTTTTGAGTTGGGAGGTATAGCAAAACACTTAATGACTGGCCCTTAGTTTTGTTTCCCACTGACCTCAATGTTTCCCTCGGCTTCACCTTGGGGAACATTGAGGGTCTCGGGGAAACAAAACTCACTGTTTCCCATGGGACCAGCCATTAAGTGCTTATTATACCTCAAAGTGTTTCAAGAGTTGTTACTTTAACCCTTTCAGCCCTAAATTGCCCGGGTGTTTTCCCAATTTAATTAATATACTCCTCATACCCATTTCTTAATATACCATCTGAAAGCTTTTGATCTGTGTTTCCAAAACTCACGTCAACAACCACTAAGGAAGTGAATTAGCTTTGAATATCGATGGATTGAAAGGAGAGAACCCCTAAACTATACCTTATTTCACAGCTTTCAGTGAATAGGTTAATAACAAATTCACTAGAGGCTGCATAATTATTGTAAAAAAGTTTCAAAACTTCCAGGGGTGGTAAACTATACATTTATAGGGGGGTCACAATTTTATGCTTTCTATGAGTAGATCTTCACAAGATCATTTAGCTGCAAAAAGTTCATAAAAGACATCAAAATCGACCAGATTTGAGCATAACAGTGATGTCACAAGTACATAAGTGCTCTCCTGTGGCGAACAGGTTAAGGGTGGTGTGACTGGATACTAAATTGTTACATTTTGGAACTCTTTTCTCTGTAAGGTTTCTCGCAGTCATCAAATGCCATCATAGGTTTACAGTGGACTGTGGAAGGTCCAGTGGGATTTTAAGGATTTTTAGGTGAGTTGAAGTGTTAAATTTTCAATGGAGAAAAAAGGAGAATGAGTTGAGAAAACGAGAATTTAACGAGGATTTGAAATTGGATTGTTTAGTCAATAATAACTTAAACTGATAGAGGGAAACTATGAGCAAAATAGACTGCACCCAACCTGAAGTGCTCTTGTACTACGTGTAGCATCTCTGCTGGTGGTTTTAACTTTTTCCCTACTTTAAATTTACTTTCATCCAGTTTCATAAAAATTCAACTGCAACCCTCCCCCCCATTCCCCCCTTTATCGTCACTGCATGATGATAAAGGGGGAAGAGGGAAAAAAGACAAAATACAAGGCAAAGTACAATCAAACTTCTGAATAATTTTACCTTAAGTATTTTGGATTCATATGGATTGTTGTTGATTACTGATAAAAGACACTTCTCTCCAAACTTGAAATCTGTTATATGGAATTCAAACAGTAACGAAACTAAATATGTTGAGTTAATGAATCAATCTTTGAAATCCCATAGTAAAAGTATTCACAGGTAAATACATCCTTAGAAAGTCATGTTTTGATCCTTACATTACTCTCGTACTGTTTGCCATGGTAACCAGCCAATTTAAGCATAACAGCAATCTTGTTTCTCACTAACAGTTTCCAATGATTTACAGGTCTTTTATGATCCTCATAATATGTGATACCCTCATGCTAGTAACATCTGGTTGACTTGAAAAACTGGCTGCATTTCACAGGTTTTGACCCAGTGAGAAGTACAGTTCCCTGTCCACAGGTTTTCCAAGTTTCACACCCATTGAAAAAGTAATTATGTGTCATCTGACTGCTTAGACTGTACAAGTTTTTTCACATGTTAGTTCCCAAGATTTTTTGCCAGGTTTCTCATGCATTTTACCTGTAAATTTATTCAGACATCCTAGACAGCCACCAGGTGCTTTCCTGCAGCCCCATAACAAGTGACAGAAATGTTTCTGACAAATGGAGCCTACACAGATAAAACAGCCTATCAGTAAAAGGTCAAACTAAATTTACGTTTATTTTGCCTTAAAGAAAAATTAAATACACTCTTTCACACTGTTGAAAGTAGCAGTTCCAGCAATATTTTTCATAAAGAAGTGTTGGATTTCTATTGCACGAGCTCAAGTCATGATGCATAGAAATTGAGAGCAAAAAATCTAATTGTTTTAGTATAAATCTACTAGCTATAGCATTTTAAAACTATCTTAATTTCCCTAAAATTCAGACACTTACATATTAATGCAAAGAACTGGCCACCATTTTGTTAACATAGGCACACTGCTACGCTACTCACTATCTACAGCAGAATAGATAGTGAGTAGCATAGTAAATAGCAAATAAAAGGACAACATTTGTGATAGAGTGCTAATTGTCAGTTCAGGATCTTGCCTTGCTTGACATGCCATGGTAAATTGTACCAGCAACATAGTGTAGGGTGAAGGGGAAAGATCTTTCAATCATTTCACCTAAGTCATGAGAACTGAATATAAAGACTACATTAAATGTTTTTAAATTTTAAAAATCTTAATTTCAGATATAACAATGTATTATTTACTAAATGATCACAAGTGTTCACTGTTGTGAATACTGTAAATGAACACTTACACTTCTGTGCAGGAATGCTTCTTGCTAATGTTTCAGGCCAACTGTTCGGCATAGGTTGAAGGCAGCATTGACATAATATGTGGATTTGATCTGGAGTGCATGTATAGTCAGGTGGAGTTACACTTGTTGATGTACCTTGAAACATAATTTGAATTCAACATAATTGAGCCAAAAACAAAAAGCGCAGTCAAGCCTTTTTATATTTGCTTAACATGATGAATACATGAGAATAAGTTCCACCATATCCATGGAGTGGTTATTTCTCACTCTTTCCAGATCAAATTGCAAATTGCAAAGCACAAAAGAAATGCTTCTTGGACAAAAAGTGAGAACCAAATACTGATTCCTGAAAATTTTTATAGTCAGGACACTTCGTTAATTTCTATCAAAGACTACATCTCAACAGCTTAATAGTAATTATAATAATAATAATAATAATAATAATAATAATAATAATAATAATAATAATAATAAATAATCTTTATAGAGGAAGCTCCTGTCACATTGCATGGTTTTCAAGGAGGTCCTCAGTAACTAAGGTAAAATAGATTAAAAATTGAAACTAATCACAATCAAATCCAAGTAATTAAAAAATGGGACTCAAGAGTAAAAATAGCTATAGACTGGGACAGTCTTTCTCCATCTCTGTGAATGTTCGAAAAAAAAGAAAAAGAGTCAGATTGTGCAGGCATGTTTGCAATCAAAAATTGTTCCACATGTTGTAAAAGGCTTGATTTAAACTGAGATCGTAGTGATCATGAGCAGCCCTCAAAAGTAGAAACGTTCCAAACATAGCAACAAGATCTAAAAGTAACAAGATTCACTGTCATTAGATGGTAAATACTTAAATTACTGAATTGTTCTTGACACCAACCTTCACCAGCACTTGCTGAACAAGATGGAGCAGCAGGTGAAATGTAACCTGGACAAAGTCTACAGCTAGTAGGAACTGGCCTTCAACAGGAGATAAAAAGGTTTGCCAAATTATAATTATCGATCACTATGTGAGAAACGCCAGCTCTTCATAGCAGAAGGTATAATTATTGTAAGCCCAGGACTCCTATGTGGCTATCAACTGGCTCTCTTCCCTCTCAATGTCTTAAATCTCAGTCTACAAAGATAAGGGCACCTGCCAGCTATATAGTCTTCTTAAATGAAATTAAAGACTTTTAAATTTCTTAAATAAAATTAAAGACTGATTGGAGCAAACTCTAGCAAGCAAATTAAAATCTAGAAACCTTTAATATGTATTTATTTGGTTAATACTTAAACTTAGCAAATATTATAAATAATAATCATAATATTTGTATACTTTTAACTCTTTAGATTTAACAATTTCAAACTACTATATATATATATATCTACCTGCAGTTTTGAAAAAGGGGTCTGTTAATTGTGCTGTGAAGTTATTTTTGTTGGTAAACTTTTCAAACCAGTTTGACTTTATTAATAGTCTTTTGGATTTTCTTGTTTTCATTTTCAATTTGAGTTTGGTTTTTCTAGATGAAGGTAGGGGCTGTAGATCATAAACATGCCACACTGTCNAATTTAAAGATACTATTTACGTACAGTAATTCATTAAGTCAATGTTTGAGCCTCATGACCTAATTCAGGCAAGCTTTTAGAGATTTACATTTCCTCAACACGGAGTGATTGGGGATATTTCTACTCAGCCCTGGATGAGAGCTAGCCCATCACAGGGTTACCCCTGGCATCTAATTGACCAGAACTTATTTGAACACTTGGGTCGAGAAGGGCACTGCAGATGCTTTTAGGTGTCTTGCCAAAAACATAATGATTCCTGTGAGGACTTGAGCCAGGGCTGCTCCACCCATAATCAAGAAGATAACCAACCACTAGGCCATCATGTCTTCACAGCTTTTAGTATTCCATACTAATTATGTCAGTAATTCATACTAATTCTGTCAGTAGTTAATACTACTTTGGTACATAATTTGTCCAGATTTGAAAAATTGGGTCTTCTGAATTCCCAATGGAGTGGTTAATCTTTCAAGAATAATTGTAGTTACTTGCAATATAAATGCATTTGAAATGCAGGCAAGTGTCAAATAGCAAGCCAAACAAAATTTGATTTGGTGAATAAATTAGCAAGACAATCTTTTATCTTGACCTGTACCAAATTAACTCACCATGTCCTCTGTGATTTTGTTTTTTGAATCCATTTCTCTAAGTTCTTCTTCTGATCGCCGTCTTTCTGTTAAATAATACAAAACACGAAACTGAAATGTTGTTGTCTTTAATCAACTACAAATGTACTTGCTGATATATGTCAGAAAAAAATCAATTTTAAATAATGATATACTAGTTACTGTAGTAATCAATGATTAGAACAGTGTGTTCACGCATGTACTTTGAATGTTTGGTCTACTTTGGTGGAGTTTGAATGGCTCCATAGAAAACTAATTTTAATCGAATCAGATAATGATCTCCATGTCAAGTTGAACTGGTGATGAATAGATTATAGCCTGCTGTAAAAGTGCTTTTAATTTTGTGTCTGTTTTATTTACATTGCTTGAATTAAATTGCTTTAAATTTTAATTCAATGCTCAAAATAAACAATTTTTGGTTAAGTAGATATCATTTTACCTTCATGTTTGGAGGACAATTTCAGCTAAATGTTCTCAAAAGTGATATGAGAAATATAAGCAAAATAAATGCTTATTTAAAGGTACCTTTTGCGCACACATTTACTGTCATTACTTTTAAATTTCATATTCAAATTCATTTACCTGGGTGTTCCTTAAGAAATGCTTCCACAAAGTTGTTGATGACATGATTTTTACTGATTCTTTCAACTTTTTTCCGACACTACCAAATCAAAAGGAGATCTGAACTTTCAATTTTGTTATTCAATATTTATTGATTATATGACTATAGTCTCTAAGGGACCTGCCATGGAAGAATTTGGGGAAGAAACTTTGCTACCAGTACACTTTGCAACTGACTCTACCCCTGAGTGGATTTATGTGAACTGGTTAGTTGTAATGTTGAAATGATCTCTAGGTCAAGTGAAAATAGTTTCATACTAGTTTGATTTGTATTTTCCTGTTCCAGATCAATAATAATAGTTATTACCACTAACCATACTACTTTAAATTAAATTTGACTTGAAATTCATTTTAAAGAACAACAGCAATATGAAACCACCGGTACATATAAACGTAAGTTCTCAAAATTTTTAAATACCATTCTAAACCACAAACTTTCTGGATATTTCTCAATGAGACAACAATGTGCATGCATCAGGTGAACACCTATTAATTCTAATAAAAGAAACAGTCCCTGCCAAATTTTATTGTTTGTATAAATTTTCACATGAGACGGATGTTTGCAAACCCAATGCAATTGGGTGTTTTATAAAAATTAAATAATAAATTTTTAATCATTAATACAGTGATTTGAAATCTCTCTACAATGCCCACCCTGAGGTACAATTAACTGACCATTAGCAGTATTCATAGCCTTCCCACAGAAGGACTTCTGGCACCACACAATGCTGTAAGGTGACAGTTATATGGCTGTTAGTAGAGGTTGACCATTATTAGTAACTAAGCTACTTACACTGGGACAATCACTGGATCGATTCATCCACTGAGAATAGCATGCTGCACAAAATGAGTGAATACAAGGCTGCAAGCTAATAAAAAAAGCTAATAAAAAGTAAATATTAAATACTTTTTACTCCTGTAAATTATAAAAGTTCTGACTAGCTTTAAACATATTTATTTATGGTAGAATTTTCTTTTTAAAACAAAGTATTTATTGCCCTCCAGATAATAGAGTCTCCTGGATGCGATCAGGCTCAATTTTGAATGCATTTCTATTATATTGAAGAAATGATGTTCACTTGATTTATTTTGTTTTGTTAGCCATTTTGGATAGAAATAAAAACAGGTTAGACTACAGTCACACCAATGAATGTAAATTTATTGACCCACCTCACACAATCATGAAATATGTCCTATGAGAGAGAAAATTTAAATTTAAGATTTATTTTAAAATGTGTCTGAATAAATGTCGTTGTGACTAATACCATAAATCCTCAAATTAGTGCCTGGGGCACTTATTTCAAATTTAGGAGAAGACAAGGGGGTGCTTATTCGAGGGGACGCTTAATCAAGGGGGCGGGCTGCTAATTTGAGGATTTACAGTGTTATTACAGAGTCGGAAACGCTTTGGAACTTTGTTCATGTGGGTTTCTTNACCAAAGAGGAAAAGGAACAAAAAATTTTGGGAAATGATCCTCCTCCTCCTCCTCTTCCTCATTGAATGTTTTCCCAGGATAACCCTTCAGTACAAAGTGCTGTTATCAAGAGGGTCCGTGCTAATTCAAGGATTTACAGTATGTTCAGCTTTAATGAGATTATCAATGATCAGAATTAACTGGGAGATCTGTTGTTGGCTGGCGGATGATTGCCATGGGCGTGCGTAGTTGTAGTTTTGCGGCCCTAGTTTTGCTCTTGTGGTCTAATGCTTTGCATAGCTTTGCTGCTTTTGCCTTTGGTTTGGCCCCTTCCACTGCCTCTTGGTGACAGGTGATGTGGGAGGTTGCCATGGTTACCCCCTTTATTTGCACTTTGCACACACTCGCTTGCTCATTGCCTGCTTTGCTGTCAATTGGCACCTACCCTCTATTTGAATGTTGCTTATCAACAAGTTAATTACGGGTAAGCCAAAGGGTTCCTTTTCAAATTTAATAACACATTAAGTTATGATTCATATCAGCGTAATACCAAAAAAAACAAAAAACAAAAAAACAAGAAAACAAATACGTCCTGCTCAATCTGTGTTTTGTTGTATATAATAATTATTATGTGACAATATTTGCAAAATTGATCTTAAGAAGGAGTGGTAAATGGTTATACATTATTTGAGGTTGCAAGGCAGTGAGACCTATATCCTCTCTGGGAGCCCAAGACTTTCTCATTCATTACAAATCATAAGAGAAATCAATGCTTCAAAATGGCTTTGTAAATAAAAACAAAACAGCCACTGCAATTCAAAATCATATAAAATTTGATTAAAATATTGTGAGACATTTGTTTTCAATTGGAAGAATCATTCACCATTCTTTAAGCGGTATGTCACAGAAATGTGGGTGCATTTTGGGTTTACTTTTATTAAATAACAAAGTGCAGAGTAGCTCAGTTTTGCAGCCTTTCCTCCATACCTGACAGATGCTACAAAGCAATGTGTCTGCAATGGAGTTATGAGCTGGAAGGTTGGTTTTCTTGCTGTCTGAGGTTGACTCTTCTTGATGGTTCTTTTTCAATGCAGGACCTTCATCACTGTCTCCAGTCTGAAAATGAACAGATAATTTATTTTCCCTGAACTGCCGCTTATAAGCCCTCAAGTTACAGGCCCATCTACCTGCAAATCAAAAAATACATTCAGTAATAAGCCCCCCTCTAGCTTTCATTGTTTTGAATTCAATTTATTATGATGTTTTAAAGCTTAATTAACCAATAAATGAAAAACCCATTTTGATCAACATGTGCTGCATCAGATGTTTTGTTTTGAAACCGTTTTTTATTCCAGTTATAAGCCCCCCCCACATAAGCCTCTCCGTTTATACATGTAAGTCCATCTAAGAGCCCTTATGAAGTTGCATAAGCCCAGGGCTTATAAGCAGCAGTTTATGGTATATGTATTATGTAAATTTATACAATGTATGTTCAGTTATTCTTTCATTGGTCTGTTGAGATTTTGCAAAAACAAAAAATGATATAATATAGTTTGTATTTATTATATGGTAATACCTCACTGTGAGATCTTTTTTGAGAGATTGACCCTGTTTCATTTGCCTTAACTTCTTCTTCTTCAGAAATGTCTTCTTCTAAAAAAATAAAATATTACATAACATTTCTTAGTCCCAAGCTCCATTGGTAACTATTATATCATACTGTCTTATATGCCTTTAAAATGAATATATAACCAATTAATGGGAAGATTAAACAGTAAGAAAATGAATAATAAAAAAATTACAATATTTAGAGGGGAAGCCACATTTGATGTTCAGCATTAGCTGGTTTTCATGCAGGTTCTCTATCACTATTTAGTTGGAATTTGGGGACGTTGGTTTTTGTGGAGGGAGGAAAACCAGAAAGCAAGGTGAGAACCAACAGCAAACTCAATCCACATATGGCTCCAGGCCAGAATCAAAGTTGGGTCACATGGTGGAGGCAGGCGCTCTCACCACTGCACCATCCCAGTGTTCCCCAATGATAAATTGATTTTCTTTTTTTGCAGGTTCTTGCAAATTTTATCTAACAAATAAATATAACTGTCTGAGTATAGTGTAGTCCTGAGAAAGACTATATATTTTTTAAATTATGAGAGAAATTTATAGATTAAAACAGCTTTGAACTTGCAATTGAAACCCAGGAGGAGTTAAAGTTTTGGATATCACACATGCAGGTGCAAGAAAAACTTTGTTCATGTACTACTTCACTCTAGGCACATACAGGGTGAATGATGACCATAATCACATGGATTGCACATTAAACTTGTGCAGTGTACAGAATTGGTACAGACCAGTATCATTACTATACTCCAAAGTGTTGTCCAGTAACGCAGCTTCCTCCCTCAAAACCTTCAAGTCTTGAAACACAAATGCAATATCTGCAAAAATTAGGTATCGTATTTATCTCATTATGACCCAACTCAAAAATGATATGCGTTAGTCTGTAATCTTACAGCACATGCTGAACTTTATATATATGCTGTGAAAACTCATGAAAGTTTGGGAGAACTCAAAAAAGCTGTGGAAACACTCGCCTAACAGCTTGTGTTCCCACAGCATTTCTTGTTCTCCTAAACATTCACTTGTCTTTCTTTTAAACAATATTACATTACTCGCTCTTGATTTCTATGCATGATATTTCACGCATAGAAATCGAGAGCAAGTAATCTAATTGTTTTAGTATAAATCTACTAGTTGTTCAAAACTTTATCTAAATCCTCTTCACAGACACTTGGAAAACGTCAAGAAGCAGCTGTCATTTTGTTAAGAAGGGCACACTGCTTTGTTACTCACTATCTATCACAGATGATTACATCTACTGGCGTCCTATCACGAATGCCATCCTCTGATTGGCTCCACAACTCACGTTCTATTTTGTGATAGATAGTGAGTAGCGTAGCAGCGTGCACTGGGGGCCACTTCTTTGTGTTTTCGAAGTGTCTGTGAAGAGGATTTAGATGAAAGTTTTGAACGACTAGTAGATTTATACTAAAACAATTAGATTATTCGCTCTTGATTTCTATGTGTGATAGTTGATGAGGGTGCAGCCCGAGTCAACTATCACGCGATAGAAATCTCGAGCTCATAATCTAATTGTTTAATAGATAGTGAGTTGCGTAGCCAATCACAGAATGTCATTTGTGATAAAATGCTAGTAGATTTCTACTAAAACTTGATAGAAACATGATACATGTTTTCTATTCCTTAAAATAATAATGAAAGTGAGAGGGGGATCATAAACATAACATAACATAACATAACATGTTTGATTCAGGATACAATAATAAAAAAAAGATAAAGTATTCAATCATAGAAAACTTTGAGTTAACTAAAGTTAAAGAAAAGCTAACTAGTCTAGATGCAAAAATTTTTAAAAACAGAAAACAAAATGGCAAGATGGAAGGTACTTACCACTCCCAGGGTGGTCCTTTCGATGTACTATTTGTACTTGATCATTGTGGCAAATCAGGATTTTCTGTAAACAAATATAACAAAAAAGTGTCAATAAAGTATAGGAATGAAAATTAATGGAAACTACATACTTGATTAATTCTTACGAGAGCAGGGAATTGGCATACTGGTGAGAGTGTTCAGCTCCCACTGATGTGGCCTCGGTTCAATTCGGGCTCAGTGCCATACCTTAGTTGAGTTTGTCGTTGGTTCTCGCCTTGCTCCAGGTTGCTCCGGGTTGCTCCGGGTTCTCCAGTTTTCCTCCCTCCACAAAAACCAACACTCCAATTCTCAACTTGACCAAGATAGAGGACCCACATAAAAACCAGCTAAGGCTGATGCGGCTTCTTCTCTATATATAAGTTGCAATTTATTTTATCTACAGGTGGCATATTTATGTACAGTGCCTTAAATAATACTGTAACTAAATTCCTGCTGTTCCCAAATTCCTTTCTTAGCTTGTTCAGTCCTTAATTCATTTTTTAACATTTTTGGGAAAAAGATTTTTAGCATGGTATAAAATAAGCTGAAATACAATCATAATAAGGGTAACCCGAAAACACTGACCCCCGAAAACTTTGCCACAGCAAAGGAAATGGCAATGTGTAATGATAGAAATTGCGCCTGAACCTGAATCCAAGTCTGTTACATTTACACAATGTAATGTTCGAAATTTCGCCGTCACAAGTAATCTATTAGACAACCCGTAACTGAAATATTTATTTATTATTTTTATTCTATTTTGTGGGGTGGTCCTTAGAGGGGGTCCATAGAGGTAGTCCATGGACCGGTCCATAGGTACTCTGCGGACCTGGTCCATAGTGGGGGTCCGTGGACTGGGGGTCAGTGTTTTCGGGTTACCCTCATTATAATTAACTCTTTTATTCACTGACCTCATCTTTTTTAATTTTCTTCCCATTGAGCAAAGATCCATTAGTGCTAGAAATTCAACAACACATCATTAAGCTTGAATGATGACAAAGATTTATAAAAATACAAAGACTAAGTATTTGGTAGTTTCAACTTTGTCCGATGAGCATCAAGTAAAAGGAACTCCAAGAGAATTGAATCACCTGAAGTCCTGAAGCCAAACTTTACCGTCTGAATCTCTTGAAATAGTACAGTGATGACCAGACACAAATTTACTTCCAGCAAAGCTAATGTCACAATCTGTGAAATAACATATATAACAGAGACAGCAACTTTTATTACATGTAAACAAAACACAAATCAAGACATGGCAGCTATTAACTATTTGTTCAGTTGATCGCACACAGATGGCTTATCTTAATGCATAAAATATGTTTCATACATAAATTTTGAAGGCTCACAATGATAACCTGCATATCTTAATAAGTCTGTCTCCACCATTGAATTTTATTTAACTGTCATGGCGGGAACTAGCTAATCGCCGGCCGCTTATAAGATATAGCTGCTATAACTTGACCATCACCTTCTTTCCTCCCTAATCTGACTGATTCCTTACTGATAAGCACAGGAGGCTTGCTGACATGGGTGAAAATCAGCTGTCCCCAATGTATACGCGTATCTTCAAAATTCGACGCCATCTTGCATGAAATCTCGTTCCAGTCCCAGCCAACAATCTTGCGTTACTCTCATCACGTTGCGTGACGTCAACGTTCAGTGATGATCATCCTGATACACACGATAAAGGAAAACAAACAAAACGTTTTAGAGCAAGGCACGTAAAACAGACATATCAATCAAGTCGAAAAAAAGTCTTGCCAGACCTAGGTGACCCTGAAAAAAATTATTGCGCAGAAAAACCAGGTAAGGGAGACCCTGAAACGGGACAGGAGTGCTCGTCATACGTCATACCTTTTAGGGGTTAAAAAGGCGGTTTTCGTACCCCTTAGGATATTCAGCCCAAAAGGTCCATAATGCCCCAGTGGAAGCTTTTGTGGTTCCTTTTAGGGTATTGAGCCGAAAAAATGTGGCATGAGATAAAGTGTTGTTTAGAATAATTGTTACCTTTTAGGGGAGAAAAAATATCAAGCCAAACCTGGCCCACAAAAGAGGATCTTAGTAACTCTTAGGGGTTTTTTACAAGATTTCCTATGAGCTCCCCAGTCCTTTATATATGGGAGTCCCCCGCCCCCCGGGAGAAAAATTGCACAATTTCCCACTCCCTCAAAAACTTAATGGTCCATCAGTTAAGGGTTGGAGGGTTACCAGAAGAATATTTCTGTGCAGGATAAGTGAGAAAATAATTATTTTAGTAAAGCAAGATTTCATGAACATAAACAAGTCTTCTTGCTCTGGAGACCCTTTACATGAAGAAGAAAAAGAAAATCTTATAGATCAAAGTGAAAAGAGTCACAGGTGCTTTTCTTCTGCTTTAATCCCAAAATTTTGCTAACCTAGTACAATTGAGGTATAGTGATTAAATCCCAAATTTCAAACACAAGAAATACAAAACAGAAATTTATTTCGCTATTTTTTATTACAAAGAACCATGCTTAAAAATATGTGCAAGTCATCAACAATTTGCAAAAATATTTACAACTTGTACACAAAAATATTCATTGTCACATAAATACCACTGTGTTAAATACTATGGAAAAATAATTGTGCGTAACAAAATCATTTTTAAAAAAAATCAGTAAAAAATTCCTAGGTAGACTTCTCTACTCAGAAATTATGTATGAGCTTATAATAACAGTTTAGAATGATAAGAAATAGCACAAAACTACCTGAATAGCCTCACTACATCATGACATTTCCACCGAAATGTGTTGTGACACAGGAACACGGAACGAAAATATAATTTTTACAATGCAACTCTCTATTAGTATTATCTCTACTTCAACCACTCCAAATTAGGTGAACAAAAAAATATATACATTTCGGTCAATGTATGTAAGTAAAAAAATATATAACTTGCAATATATATTCACTCAGGTAAAGGGGGTTGTAGAATGGTCTGTAAAATATAAAAATCTGTCTTGCTTGTCGAACGTGTCAACAAATTATAACAAAATCTTTGCTTCTGTAATGTTCCAGAATCTTTGATGTCAATGCAAGGACAAAACTTTTTGGAAATTAGTCTCTACATGCCTAAATTTTTAAGAAATGGTCTGAATGAAGGAGCTTTGTCCTGGTTTACGACTCCTAGGAAGACCATTTTTATGATTAAGATTTTCGTATTTAAACAAAGATTGATTGAATCTGTGTTGATCTTCCCCATCATTAAACATCCTTGTTCCTTTATGGTTCATTATTAATATCTCTTTGGTGTTTTTTTTATTGTTACTGTAAACTGTTATTTTCAGGTTTCATTCAACTTAAAGGTAGTTTTGTACTTGGCCAAAAGAACACTAATAACGTGACTGAGCTCCTTTAACAAGTCTTAGATTTATCATTTCCCCAAATGGGTCTAAATGGATTTCAAAGAGCATCTGCCAAGGTGAATTTCTACTACCAATCCTTACTAGAACACAATATATTATTAACTGTAGAGAGATAAGACAGGACTCTCACAATTCTCTCCACTATACCCAGGCAGACAGACACAACTCCCTGTAAAGCAAGAACCACCAACGTCACTACAGTTAGTGCAAGAAGGATTATCGTCCACCTTGACAGCAAAGCTCAGGTCAATCGCAGGTGAATAGTTGATCCACAGTGCATCGCCAACTTCCTCATTCATAATCATGAAAGACGGAATATCCTCAATGTCTCGTCCAATGGGGATCTCATACTGGACATTATGGTCAACACGAGAAAAGGTAATTTTCCTTCTGAACAGAATGCGCATTGATTGGTAGGCGAAAACCAACTGACTCTGACTGTTTTTGGCAAACTCTTCAAAAGTGTCTGGTTCCACCTGTTTTGGTGTTCCTGTGAAATATTTGCTGGGAAACAAAATCAGTGGGTACTGGATTGAGGGATATTTAGCAGTATCACCAGGTCCTGAAATTAATCATAACAAAAGTGTTTATTATCAAGGAGAGAATTGATGAATTTTCAATCTGCAGGAACCAAGGCTGTAGTCTAAGAAAAATTACAAGGAGCCTTAAGGTTCCTAATCATGAAATCCTGGTTGCTAAACGCTTAAGCTTAAATGAAAAAAATTATGCTTTCCAGTTGCCCAAAGGCAAATGTTAGTTGCCTGTGGCACCTGGGCACTTCTAGAGCACAGGCCTGATAGAACTTGATCCTGAAAATGACACCATTATCAAGAGTCTCCTTCCTTTAACTTTGGCTTTATAGCTCTCCACAATCACAAGTCAACAAGGCATTGGATGCCAGCAAACTGCTCTGGCACAGGGAGGGGGGAGAGGGGGTCAAGTATATAATACTCATGTGCATGCTAAAGAAATACAAACTAAGCAATGCCCAATTGAGATGCAATGTTATGAAAACAGCTAGTACTTTTAGTTTTTGGCAATGCTCTATTCTGTATCCCTATTACATGTAGTATGGTCAACAGTCTGTGAGACTTTTCCTCTAACATAAATGAGCAAGGTTTAAGTGAAATGTGTCAATAATAGATTAATTCAGGTCAAAGACTTGACTTACTTGTAGAACAGTTACTTCCCGAATATCCACTTAAACATTGACATTCGCCATCTATACCACATGTACCAAAATAACAGGTTTTTCCACCACAGTCTGGAGACGTACAATTTGGACAAGGCTCGACCTTGAGAGCAAAATCCATCTGCCAGTGCTCCCACTGGGTATACCAGATCCCGGACGAGCCACCAACATCTTGATTGTCAAACATCCACAAGTGTATGTTAGAGATGTTTGTGACGTTATAAATGAAAGAAGTAAACCTGTTTCCACTAGAAAAGCCAGCTGGAAAAAGAAACAAGTAAGGCCAAATCAGAGCTGTCATTAATAAGGGCTGTGCGTGACCTGTAACACCTTTTATGGCCGAGTATGCTTGATTGGCCCTTAATGCTATGGGTGAACTTGCCATTTGTTAAAACCATTCACCAAGAGAGTAACAAGTTTGTTACGGGTAAGATAAGATAAGATAACTTATTTATACACAGTTTTTCCATCAGTCAATTAAGTTTCTGGACTATCTACCTATCTACCTAACTACAATTAAAATTAATAACAACAATCCCAATAAAAAAAAACTGCTTGTCATGGAGGCTGTGTCTAAAAGTTTACTTAGAATAAAGATATTACTTTAAACTGTGGTGACTTAATTTAGATTTGAAATCAGTCAGTGAGGATGCTTGTCTTAGGTCTATAGGTAAGTTGTTCCACAACTGAGCTCTGCAGTAAGAAAGCCTTCTCTTAAGTTAATCAGTTCAATGTTGTGAAAGAACTAATTGGATCTGATTTCATAATATATAATAGACCCATTCAGACCAAGAACCATGCCCTCTGTCCTTGACATACAAATTATTTAATAAAAGTTAATGGTACAAAGCAAATTACCTTTAAATGTGAGTTTCCTTCCAGGCATGACAATCAGTGATCTGTACAGGAATTCTCTTTTCTGATCAGTTATTGTTCTGCCCCAGACATGGAATTCGCCTTCTTTGAGACTTGTGTAGTACTGGTTGGCATTATCAGAGCCATTGTTGTAATTCAGTTCAGAGAAGAGTATGATGGGAAACTCGGCAGATGGTTGAGGATCAGCGAACCCCTAACAATAATGAAATGCGACCAGAATATTTTGAGTTTGCTAGATCTATGTTAGTAAAGTTTGTCTTGTTATATGGCTAGCTCCACAATCGGTTAAGATGAACAAAATCCTGTGCTGTGAATGGCTACCTGAGCAGGCAAGATGGAGCTATCTAGCCTGCCCAATGTTTCCCAAAAGAAAAAAGTCTCCTTAAAAGCTATGTAATAAATCCTTTATTGACCAAGCTTGTTCTGTCAAGATGGCTGGATATCAGTCTCATTCTTTTTCTGTAAGTTTATGGACCTCGACCCTGTCTCAGTCCGTAAACATGCAAACAAAGAACTTGGTGAATATCCAGTCACCTTGACCTCATGCTTGGTCATTAACCCATATATCGCAATCAAATTTAGCTATGTACCTCACTGTACACTAAACCCTCTAGGATACATGATTCGTTCATAGAGCTAGACCCTGCTGATTTGAACCTGGTTATGTTGAATTTCCTGTTTTTTCGAACTTAAAACCATTTCCCTTGGAAATAACCTATCACTTATTTTGAACAATTTTTTTTTCCCCTGAAAGTTTGAAATAGTGGGATTCACCTTATACTGTAACATCTGCATGTATTTGACAATTTTGCAAGCAGGGGAAAATGATATCGATCAACCTTGCATCATTAACAACATTATTATTTTGACTCAAGTCACCCTACTGAGCCTTTTTGCTTGTCTAAGTTTTTCAGTCCACCGATTCCCTGTCCAGTAGTCCATCATGGTCAGAGTGTGATCTGGTCAGTAACATTATAACCAGCAATAAGCAAGCTGAAGGTTAAGTTTGCTTCCAAGTTTAAGTTACAAAATAGCATTGACCAAACAATTTGAAATGTGTGGGTTCTTCTGAGAAGGCCACAACTCCGAGGGGGGGGGAGGTACTCTGTAAATCTTTGGGTGGTGGCGTGCTGCTGCTTACCCTATACTAGACCAACATCAACTCGAATATGCAACCTTATTCTAGACTAGCTACGCACCAAAAACCCCTACACTATTGCAGACTCTGGCCCCACTCTCCACACAGAGAAGCAGAACTGATGATGATGATAACAGACTAGCTATTAACTTTCCATGCATAAACTTTATCACTATCATTGTCCAACATACTAAACCAATATCATACAAAGTCACTTTTAAAGAGTTTCAATTTCTATTATGGAATCCCGGGTAAAGAACCTTGATCTAGACTTTGTAAATAACACTCTATTCTAGACCAAAACTGTCTGATTTCTATACCCTAACCCAGAATAAAGTGCCTGAAAACCATACCCTTCACAGCCGCCCCCGGTTCCACAACTAGGTAAGTTAGTGAGTTTAATTTCGAAAAAGTCACAACTTGTGAAACCAGACGCAAATAACCTTACAATGAAAGATTCTGCACCTCTCCGCGACAACTGCGTTATGCCTTGAAAATGACACTCGATATGAATTGTCATAGATAACAACTACTAATATTAAGAGAAAGAACCGCCGAAACTGTCGAAGTATGATTTGCCGAGCAGTTGTTTGTCTCAAGTATGTTGAAGTATGTATGATACCTGCAAGCATCTAGTAAAGATTTTGCTGTTCATTTGCCAGAATTCTCCCAAATTAATAGTCAAATAAAAACCTACCGTTAAATGAAGGCAAAATATGTTAAAAACAAACAGCAATGATAGCAAAAGAAGAGTATTTTGCCCCTTCATTTCGCCGTAGCTACCCGTGTTGTTTTATGACAACTGTATTATTTTTTTCCGGTCACATTCCTCGAAGTCCTGGGTACAACTCGGACAAAGCCCCCCCACTCGACCCCATGCGGCCCATTATCAGCCCCTAACTTTTGGCAAGTGACAAAATTGGAGAACACTTTATAAAACCATTTTCAAAGTGGAGCAAACATGCCTCGAGTTTAGAGGTTCAGGGATTTTGTTGTCAAATAACTCATAAAATTGAATTTCCGCGTAATTTGTGAATCATGTTCTTAGGATGATAGATACAATCAGATACAAGCAGCAGCATGTCACATGTTATATGCTCCTGATACAAGATAGTCCCACAAGATATAATTGAGTGTCTCGATGGGGTTTAACCGTTAGGGCCAAACATTTAACCGTTAGGCCTAAAAAAGCTTACAATTTAACGGTTTGCCGGCGTAAAACAACTTGAATCTAAGAGTTAACCGTTAAAAAATATATATATTAGCGCAAATTAAAGGTCTCAGTTGTCTTGTAAAGAACTCCATTTGCGTAGTTCGTCTCGCCCCGACTAACCGTCCCTACGTTCCCAAGGGTGAGCTTGATTGTGCTTTATTATCATCAGTATTTGATTTTATTTTTTCTTTACATATTTTAACGATTAATTTCTAAGGCAACAACTCATGTACAGATTACAGGCCTATTACATAAACAGCGGAGACAAGCGACAACCGGAAATACGTCTGCGTTCGCAGGCTTCATGGCAAACTGTCAATATGTTACATTGAGATTTGTGTGGTTACTTAAGGCTCATTCATATTTAAGACATTTGATGTAAAATCCACACAAACCATCTTGCCTAATAGAACAGTTTACAAGTATTTCCTAAATTATAATTTAGCTCTCAACTGTTTTTCTGAAAATGTTCTCTTTTTTGAAGGGTGTGTCCTTTGCCAAAGTCTGCTGTGTTTCGTTGCAGCTCCTAAAGGCAGAAATGTTTGGCAAGAATTGAACAGACCACATGGTTTCCAGGCCTTGTATTGACAAGATTACGTTTACAGCCTCGTCTTCGAGTAATGATACCTATGTAAGACTGGTGTCGAACATGAGTGGTGAATCATAGTTACTGCTACTCGTGCTTAGTTTCCTTTTCTCCCGGTCTTCTTTGTTTTTGTGTTTCTTTTTCTTTTTCTTGTGTTTTTTGTGCCCGGCAACGCCTCCATCGGGATCTGGTTTTATTCGAACCTCACCTCCACTTTCAGCACCGCTTTCTTCACCTGCAATCTAAAACGAAAGAGAAAAGTTAGTTTGGACGCAGAACCACGAGCGAGAGAATTACGTAGACTGGAAACTACACGTACCTTTATCTTGAGGCGGAGTTTGCTGGCTTCAGAATTCGCGGACTCAACACTCATGGGTGTGTCGGGTTGAGAATCCAAATGACTCAAATCTGTAAAGATGGAAGGAAACAGATGAAAAGTGAACGAAAGACAAAACAGCGGTTAAGGGCTTTAAACCAAATGACGGTTTCTGATGTTCACCTGCAGGCGATGCCGCTCGAGAAGCTTTTCTCTTGTGGCTCTTCCTTGACGCTGTGGATTCCTCGCCGCTGACAGATCCCTGGCAGAAAAGAACAAGCCGAGAATTAAAACGTAAAATAGAAAAGTGACTTCATTATTGAGTGCTAATTGTTCAAATTTGCAAATCGACTGACAAACCGATTGAGATTGACCATAAACGTGTTAAGAGCTCAACTTGAGAGAGGCTGATCAGTTGTGGATGTTTAGAAGGCATGAATCTTTTAGGGAAAGCCCTGGGAACGAGGTTGATGATTGAGGAGCTGAGCAAACCCAAATTATAGCAGGGTGGAGGTGGGGTTGAATAAAAGTACCACAGGTCTCAAATCCAGCACCCTACACTACTTGACCACGCCTAAGCTACTCTCCAAACATCATTAATATCGGTACACGTAACACACATTCAACAAAACCGGGAAGTTAACAAACTCACTTAGTTCTACAAAGTCGATGGCGACCCTCTCTGAATGGAAAATTTCAAATCATGATTTCATCCTCACAAAACTTTCTGTGTTGTATTGACAGACTTACCGGTGATGCGGGAGGTGGAAGAGGAGAAAGACTCATGATCTTCTTTTCCTTCAAGTCTATTACGATACCCATCTACGAAAAACACACACAAACAAACTTAACACGCTTTTAGGTTTCTGACTTGGGTAGAAAATTTTGTCGGGCGGCCTTGGTTAGCGTAGTCGCCCTGTATGTGATTAATTTTACATTTCACTCGATTTGAAAGCCATTTTCTTATGCCTAAATTTGGCTAGTCAAATCTGTGACACAATTCGTTTAACGTAGTTAACAAGGTACGTACAGCATCTCCAGCAAAATCCTTAAGTAAAGTTTGTCCACTTAGCCTCCAATTCCTTTTCACAAACAGTCTTTCTGTTCAAAAGATTGTCTTTGTCCCTTAATCTTTCGTTAGCTGTAGAGACTGGTTGAATAACATTTCCTTTGAAAAGTTGTTTACTGGTTCTCTCATAGTCGTTCTTCACTCACCCCCTGAGAGGGAACACAGCCAGGTGTAAGGCGACCCCACAATGTATTGAACAACTCGACTCCGTCTCGCCTGAGCCGAGCATCAACTGAGGAACTGGAACTGAAATCAAATAAGGCCCAACATGTATCGACCCAATAAGTACTCAGGTCAGACAATGGGCCATTTCTGCCTCTGTTTGAAAACGAGTCTTCGTGCAAAACTTTTCATATGGAAATGAGTTTGATTTACATGAAAATGAACCTGTAGGCGAACACATTTTAAATTTAGGATTTTCATATCATGGTTTCGTAAGAAAAACTCGTCCTGACACAGAGGCACGAGGTAACTATGATATGGCCCATTTAAAAGTGAGAGAATTGAATAAGGGCGAAGATTTATCCTCAACGCAATTAATTTGTGTCATCCAGTGTAAAATCTAATTGAAGTGAAACACGTGAAGTGACAAGGTGTTTTTCTACTGACTCCCCAATGGATGGGTGATTATATTATTTTCAGTACTTTACCTTAAAAAATGTGTTTAAATAACCAATATAGTGTAAATAAAGAATTGAATTGAACTGAATTGAATTGATCGATTGAATGCTAGTCAGTCGCATTGGTTACCTGCCCCCCCCCCCCC